CAATGAAAATAATGTTAATTATAAATGAAAGCACAAAATTATTGGTGATGGAAAGAAAAGCGAATACTTAACATTATTGTCAGGCGATCATTGTACCTTACGTTAAGAAATTTTCTCCGTTGTCATTTTTTGCCGTGATTTGACAACATTTCTTTTTATCGCTGGTCATCCTATGTTGACGACCTACTGTAGATCTATGGATCAGATGGAAAGAATTAGTACGTATAGTTCTCTGATATATCTCTTAGAACATGAATGGAGTGTTCTTAGGAGGTGCACGTAGAATGCAAACTTCCATTGAGATCTAAAAAAGACTTGGATATAGGACTGAAACAGTAATGGCAAAACCTGCCTCGGAATCTTCTGGACAATGTTGTTAAAAGCAAGCACCAGGGACGACAATCCGGCATTATTAATAGAGGATGGTTTAAAATTTCCCACTGAACTCTGTTTTCCTTTTTTGTTTCTTCCTTATAAATAAATGCAGAAATTTTTAACTTTTTATCTTTTTTTCTGAAAAAAAGTTTTCCATATATATATATATATTTATTTAACAAATAATTTTAATGACATATTATCACATAAAACATTTTCTATGAGAATACAGATGACCCTTAACTTGACGACATCAGTATGTTTAAGAGTACTTGTGGAATCTAGATGAGTTTTAGTTTCAATATTTTAATACAGTTTTTTAAAATATATTTTAGGTAAAAAAAGTTATGAAAGCAAGCATTCGTGGAATGTATATTGGTAAAGTGTCAGTTGGTGGTGTTGAAAGTCCTGATGAGAGCAAAGTTGCTTTCTTTATTGGATGCATACAAGTAAATATCAGTTTTGTAAAATATGTGCTTATTTGAAATTAATCTCTTTTCACGTAGTTAATGAATTTTAAATGCATTTCACTGTATGCATTTTAAATTTTGTTCAATTAATCTTAGTAACTTTTATATCTTTTTAACAACTAAATGTATTCCATTAGGATGTTAAAATTGGAAATAGTCGAAGTTCATGGTTGAGGCCTATGGTTGAGGTAAATGTTCAAGAGGGCTGTTTTGCTCCCAGCCAATGTTCTTCTAATCCTTGTCCACGCAATAGTAAATGCTTGGAAGTGTGGGGAAATTATTCCTGTGAATGCGATGCAGGTATATCCAATTTGTATTTCGAAATTACTTAAAATATTGTTCCTTAACAATACAATTGAAATCTGTGCTTCAGTTAGAGTACTAAAAATTGGTAGCCACAGGTTAGAGGTTTTTAAATATTGCTGCTAGATATATATTAATAGCAACATAGGTTCTTAAGAAAAAGTAAAGAATTTTATGAAAAACCTCTTTAACGCTTCTAGTGTACTACATTCGCGTCATATACGCAGAGTAAAATCTTCCAGCTTTTAAAATTTCATTAGGCTTTCTTTCATTATTAAAACATTCCTTAACTTAAAATGTATAAAGATGTGATTGATAATTACTTTGAAGAAACCAGCTTCAAATTTAATGCAAGATGTAATTTCATATAAATCTGAACCGTAAACTGTTAAAACTTAGCTGCATCCTAAATTTGCTCTCCAAAGTCCTGAACTGAATTAACAGTAGGTATGAAAAGTAATTTGAGGCAGTAAACTCGATCATGAATATCTCTACGAATTTTTCCTTTTTAAGCATTGAACATTTGGTATTTAACTCATTGAATTAGGGGTTGTTTCTGTGGGAGGAGTACCTTCCAAAGGGGATTCCAACGTTGCGGTTTAAGAGAAAGAATAGTTTGACCTCAGACTGGTTGATTCTAGTTGTAATGAAAGGCTGCTAGCAAAAACAGCGAAAGCATTGTTGAAATCTCATAATTCAAAAGGACTGAAAAAGTTAAATTTAGACATCATGCAAATGAAGCGAATTCACAAACACTTTTCCTATTCACAAACGCCTAAACTATATTTATTAAATATAATGATAATTTATACATTAATAAACATATAAATAACACAAAGTTATAAAGGTACTAAACATTAAATTTATGTCTCCTTTTATATCATACTAAAATGGAAAATTAATTTTCAGTTTTACCTGTTATTTGGAATTGCGAACTTACATAAAATTAAAATTAAGAAACGTGGAGAAATGACAATCTGTCATGCGGGAAGAAGGGATAAATGAAGCTACAAAGGCTGAGAACCATTCCTTTAAAACACACTGAATGTTTCACTAATTAGAGCTTTTACTGCATGGGAGATGTGTATTTAAAGTTATATTGTAGAGACATTAGGTTATGAAGTGCTGAAGAATCATCATTCACCACCTTTTAGTTCGGGCGCCACTGTAGATACTTAGGTTATTTTGAAGCAGGAGAGATGAAAAATGAGCAACGCCTTCTCTGGGACTCAAACCACGGGTCTCTTGAATACGCGCCGAGCGTGCTGACCACTACTACACTACGAAGGCGAAAGAAATACCTTATAATATTTAATGCTTAATTTTTACCCACAATGTTGCAAACGTTTAATAAAATTTGATATCTTACTTTAAAAAAAACATTGCAACTAGAAGTACAAATTTAGGATCAATATTTAAGGAAATAAAATAGGTAACTTATTGCAGAAATTTTTGAAAGGATGACGGAAATTTTTTCTGAATACTTTACAAATTTTTATTCATATGTAGATTGGATTTTCGTGCAAAAAAGGTTTTAACTATTGTTTCATTCATCGTTTCGGGGCCCACCAGCGCTCGAGCGGTAAAGTTGTTGAACACCGGTAATTCGGTCCGATGCTCGAATCTTGCGAACGGGTCCGCTTCGTGGGCGCTTTCGTAGCTTTCCACATGTGTAACGTGCGTAATAGCCAGTTCCTCTTAAAACGTCCTTCACGAAGCCATACCTTCTCTTAGGCAGATAGCCGTCGAGGCTTTGCCGTAATCACATAAAGCAAACTAAACCATTCATTGTTTCGAAAAACAAATTTTTAAAAATAAGAGGGCATAAAATGCCTACATGACGTTTTAACATTTGTATCATAACAAAAAGTAATTAAAATTTTTTTGAATATTATTTAGGAAACTTAAATTTAAGACAGAGGTTCAACTAAATTTGGTTGGTCATAAATTGGAGTCAAGTTAGATTTAATTTCCATTAAAATCTACTTTTTGACGATAATAAGCGGATTTAAATTTACTTGAAAACTAGTGTAAAAATTCAGGTATTCAATAGAGTGTTTTAAAAAATCGCAAACAAAATTTCGGTAGTATGAAAAATTGTAGTTATGTTTTTCTCCTCTTTAAGATTGCAAAAATATTAATTTTACCTGTGTTATAAACAAATATGCAAATATTAATAGTAAAATATTGATTTTTGGTGCATTTAAGTAAATAGTTTTATTACAAAATTATAAATTTTTTAATAAACAGAATATTAATTTTTGATGCAATTAAGTAAAATAAATTCGTGTTTAAATAAAAAATAATGAATTTAATGAAATTTATTCTTTTTTCTAAATACCTATGACATTTGTATATCAATTCAAAGCAGCTGTTATAGATGAGTTAATTATTGCATCATTGCAGCAGATAAGTACCATTTACTCTGCAATAGATGGATTAATTGATCATTAATTAAATGATAGATGAATTAATTATCGTATCGTTGATGACTAGAGGAATTAATTGATGAAGAGATGAATTAGTTATTGTATCATTGATGAATAGATGAATTAATTATTGTATCATTGCAGCAGAGCTCCCTCCTTTTTTTTAAAGCTTTGTTTCAGTTAAATACCCATTTTTCCTTCTAAGAAGATATTTTTTACCAAAGATGTAATTTCAGCATTTAAAAATGAATTAATTAAATATGAAATGCTTTTTTTTATAAAAAATGTAATCGTCTTCTTCAGGTTACATCGGTAAACAGTGCCTTCCGGTTTGTAGTATTAACCCATGTAGTGAATCATCCATATGTGAAACCGAGGATCTTAGTTCTGATGTTCAGTCAAGCAAGAGAGCTTATTTCTGCAAATGTGATTCGCAACACACAGGAACTTATTGTGATATACTTCTCGACCTTCCCTGCCCATCAAACTGGTGGGGTTATCCTATATGTGGACCATGTCATTGCGATGTAAATAAAGGCTATAGCGCTGATTGCAATAAAACTACTGGTGAATGCTCTTGTGAGGTACGAATCCCTGTATATTATTAGCTGAATATTCTTTGATCTAGGTGCTTTTCTATTGCATATTTGCAAACTAATATATTTGCTGTTTATTTAAGTAATATTGTTTAACATGATTTTTTATGCATTATTGCTTATATTTATTTATTATTTGAGCATTAGAAACAATATTTTTTAAGTGATTTATATGCATATAATATTAAAAAGGATTATGTTAAGGAGCATTTAAGATAACTAAATTTATTTACTATTATTTTGTTGAAGAATGCAATGAACGTTCTGTCTTATAAGTAATACGGTTACAGGTTAATCACTTCCAACCTCCTCATAGTTCATCGTGTTATAGTTGTGACTGCTATTCTGTTGGGTCTTATGGAAGCAGCTGTGACCCTGTTACTGGTCAGTGTAATTGCCGTCCTGGTGTAATTGGCCGCCGATGTGATTCCTGCTCAAATCCGTTAGCCGAAGTTACTCTCCGTGGATGTGAAGGTAATTTAGCCTTTTTTCACTTTTTCCACCTTTTTTATTTCTTCTTTGGGGCGGAAAGAATTGCTTTTATGTTCCCGTTTACTACTCTTTGCCTGTTTTATCTCTTTAAAGATACAGAAGGTAAAAAATTTTAAGATCCTTCTTCACGGTAATACTTAAAAACGCATTTGGTATTTTTAAAGTGAGAGGATTAAAATGTGTTGGTGACTTTAGTGTTTCCTCAAAAATGATAGCAGAATAACATCTAATTCTTTTATTCCAATATCTGTTAAAATAAACAATTCGTTTAGTTAAAATATTGAATATGATAAAAGTTAAGCATCAGGATTTCAAACGCAAAACAGTTTACTTTACTCAACAGACTTTGGAGAAAAACAGCGAGCAGGGTCGTGAAAACAAAACAAACAAATCGATAACCTGAAGAGCATAGACAGATATCTCCTACTGATAAGTGCATTTTGAATTTTACTAAGCGAATCAATCTGTATTTTTCATACCATAACAATTAGTCTAATATTATGCATTGAATAAAAATCTCTTTCAATGAAAAGACAAATAAAACATTTAGTGATTTTTATAAAATTCAAATCAATATTCCTAACTTCTTTAACGGAGAAACTCTTCATGGAAACAGAGAAATGGCATAGCTTTATAAATATGCTACATGTATACATATGCGTATGGATACCAGATGGTTTTAAAAATAACTTTGCTGCAAATGTTTTGCAAGGGAGACTGAAGTCGGTTAATGAAAATGATACGTAGTAATAAAAAAGTGTTCTACCTTAGATTAGATGAGGATAAGAAGAAAAATGAGGACTTTTCCAACAGGCGGAGATATGACATGAAGAATAATTACTTTCTTTTATGCTATAAATGTTTTGATTCGCAAGATATAGTATTGAAAAATAAATGCAGGTTAGCTACCAGTGGCTGCATCTTTTCTCTTTTATCACCGTATATTGTTTGATAAAAACGTTTCACATTTTAGGAGTGAAAACATAAATTTTGAAGGCTTAATTTCATGCAAGGTGATTTTATTATTTCTGGTTAAACGAATAGTGCAAGAATTGAAAATTTAAAGAATTAAGTTTTTGTTAAATAAATTTTATAAAACATTTGCACAATCCTCAGCCCTTGCTTTCTTCCGTAACCAGTAAAAATCTGACATCATTGAGGGACATTTCACTTGCAACAATCCGGTACTTATAGATAAAAGCTGACAGAGAATAAACTATACACGGTGTCCGCAACAGAATTCATTTGAAATCCTTTGTAGTGATCTTTTCTCTAAAGCTGGTTCAGTATCTGCTGAAGTATAGGAAAACTATCAAACACAAAAATCGTGTGTAGAAAAGAGGCTGTAAACTACCAGCATAAAATCGGAATATAAGTAAAACTGACAAGGTAAGAAGGATCCCGAGCTATCGAACAGACGAAGCATTCGAGATATTGATTATGGTTTGGAGAATTTTCCAAACATTAAAGCACCAATATCCAATATTAGTATTAAAATGTTTAGATGAGTTTTTAGTTGAATGCATAAATCATTTATTTCAATAAAAATATTTTTCCGTGTTCCTGAAGAAAGCGATCACGCATACTTCTCAAAACATGTATTGTTTTTTAGTTTCATATCGATAGCAATATTATGTAAGAAATTGTTATTTTCTTCTATGTTGCTCTTAATGTCTTTGTTAGTGTTCATTTTTATGTATTTAATATGTTATTCTATGGAAATAGCTAGATAATGTGTACTACTTCAACGAACTTTAACAAACGGAATTCTATCATTATTTTTTGTATTTAAGAATATGCTAAACTAATTAAGTCCAACTGGAAATTTAATTAATGCTATGAAAAATGTGTTAAAAAGTCTGATTCAGTGCTTTTATTGCAGTGGTTTATGACAGTTGTCCTCAGTCTTTTAGTAGAGGAATTTGGTGGCCTAGAACACTTTTTGACCATCATTCAGAGCAGGATTGTCCTGAAGGCTCTTTTGGTTTGTATACATTACCTTCCACAGATTAGCAGATTAAATATATTTCACTTACGTTGAAAATTTCTAATGCTTTTTTCCTATATTAAATAAAATAAAATATTTTCTTAAAGGCAAAGCAAACCGTTTTTGTAGCGAGCAAAATGGATGGGGAAACCCAGATTTATTTGAATGTACAAGTGAAGCCTTTCTTGGATTAGCTGAACAGGTATGAAATATAAGAATATATTTAAAGCTCTAGATCATGTGTATTTTATATTTTCATTTTATAGATGGATTATTAATATTTTGATAATTTCCCTCCCAAGCTTAGGAATCTTCAAAAAGGTCTGGTTCATCTAAATACGTCGTTAGTTGTCAGTCTAGCATCTGAGCTCTATCTTTCGGTGAATAAAACGTTTCCTTTATATGGAAATGATATTTTGATTTTTAGTCTGCTATTTCGTCATATTATAGAGCATGAAAATCAGAAAGTGGGACTCGATCTTAGTCACAGACAAGATCGAGATTTCATAAAAGTAAATACTTTTTACATAGAATGATTATCTTTATTTTAAGTAAATGTCTGAAGTTTTGGAGTAAAATGTCACTGATTTGTATACATTTATTTACTGCCCATTTTATTAAAAAATTTTTTAATTATGCACAATGTGTTTACAAATAACTTTTGATTTTTTAGAATCTTATTGAAACAGCAAGTGCTGTATTAGATCCTACATATTTAGATAACTGGAATCAAATAGCAGCATCCACAGGATACGGCGTTGAAATGATTATGGAATATTTTGAAAAATACTTACGTACCCTTATGCTGCATTTCTCTGATACGTTCACCAGACCGTTTGAATTAACGTCAAAAAATATAGGTGAGCATTTTTAAGATTGTAAATGCCTTTCTTTTTTAATATCAATGTATTATTTGTTCAGTAGGCTGTTTGAACATTATTCATTGTTAACAGAGCCTAAGAGGATCTTAATATGTCGATCTAAAAATAATTTTCAAGTTCTGAATCCATTTCCAATTCGCGATCAGTCTTCGCATTTCAAATGCATAACTCTTACTTTGCATTTCTAATGCTTTAGTTGTACTTAAAAGTGTCAAAACATGGCTTAATGCGGTAAATTAAGTGCTTATGGGTTGAACATATTTTTGTCAGATTTTCAAAAAATTAAATGTTATAACTTAAGTATTCGATGAAAGTAAAATCTTGGCAATAAATGCAAATGCATTTTATGCTAGTTACACGCATTAAGTCTATTACCAACGAGTACTTCACAAAACTCTCAAAAGTATTCAGATGAATTTTCAAAAACTAATAAGTAGGGTCAGGTTGCGCAAATCATCCCATCGCTTAAGTCAAAACTTTTAAATATTAAGCATAATATCATGCGAAATGCAACTTTTCCGGAAAAATGAGTTACCCCCTAATCAACCATATTGTTTCACATCGTGTTCGTCTCCCTGTAATATTTGTGAGAAAGATCACGAAAAGAATATGATTCAGTGCCTCAAAATGCAAAAGATGGGTACAGGATTTACGTGCTGGAGATGACAAGAAAATGAAAAATATCTTTGTGATCATTGTTGTAATTAATTGTATAAGTAAATTAAATGAGAAAAAGGCAATTCCAACTGTCTATTTTTAAACGTAGTACGACTTAAGCTATAATACTGCATTTTCTCCCTCCTTTTTGCATGCCTTCGTGATGTAACGGTAGCACACTCGGCACGTATTTGAGATGTCTAGGTTCGAGTCCCGGCGAGGGCATTACTCATTTCTTGTGTTTCCTACTTCAAAAATCCTAATGGCTCTACTCTGTTTGTCTAAGACATAGAGTTCGTATTCATAAATTTTAATAATTTTATCCAAGGGACTGTATGGGATTTTATTTTAATAAACATCAGCAACGACAACACGAGATATTATTAACACACATAATTTTTATTTCTTTCATACATCCTACGATTTGTACCTGTTTTTTCTTAGGGGGTATTTACGCAAGCGTACCCTATGTTTGAGAATTATATATATATACAATATAGATAATAATATTTGACATTGTATATCATAATATTTGTCAAAACAATGTATTTTCGACAGTCGGCAAGTTTACGTGATTTAAATTTTACATACTATTAAGGATTTTCGAAGCTGAGCTTCAAGAGCTGTCTAGATTTTTTCAGTACTGATAGGTAGGTTTAAGCGATTACTTAATAACGAACTCAGATATATATAAACAAATAATTAAAATATTTTTTTCTGAATAATATGGCCTTTTCGAGATTAATGTTAATTTTAAAGAAAATATTGTCATTAATTTATTGATTTGAAACTGTTGACTGAGATTTCGTAATTATCTGTTTCAATAATGAAAACATAATGAAAAGAAAATCATTGGTGAGTTTATTATAAATAAAGTAAGATTTATTTTCGGTTTAATATCCATATTGTGCATACTGAATAAGAATACATAGGTACTTTTTTGAAGCAACGAAGTGTGAAAAATGAGCACTGCCTTCACCGGGTCTCGAATTTGGACCGCTCAAATACGCGTTAAGAGTGCTACCGTTAAACCCCGAAGGCGTGCTAGAAGGACCTTATATACTCTCTCTTTTAAAGAGCGACTGAGGATTAGGAGACCCAGTCGCCAAATCCTAGTGGTAACGAATTATTGTCCACCATCATTTTAGTCCGGCGCTACTGTAGACTCATTAGGGTTCTCTCTCTCCCTTTTTTTTTCTTTTTTTTAAAGCAGAAGAGGTAAAATATGAGAAATGCCCTCACCTTAGATCTGGACCTCTCTAATACCCGCCGAGTGTGCTACCGTTACACCCCGAAGGCATGCTGGAAGGAAAGAGAAAACACCTTATACTTTTCTTAAGCATTAGATAAATTTTTCTACTTTTGTAAAACTATTAAGTATTATATTTGAATAACAGTTTTTTAATTTGTTCTGTGATATTTTAGTTCTAAAAATTACCACAAAAGTATTTCCATTACATATATTATTCTGGACATAAAACGTTCACAAATTTTATATTTTAATGTCTGTCAATAGTTATAATGCTGATATTCGAGGACATTTCATATATAGAAATTTTTATACATGAATTTTAAACTTGCAGCTTTTGGAGTTGATACTATTTCATCCCTTGATCTATGGTCCACATCCAGTTCAAAAGTGGGAAATGAAACTAAGTCATTGGAGATCTCTTCATTTGTGGAGTTTATTACAATAAACAACATTAAAGTACCATCTGTAGTTATTCCGAAATTTAATAATTATCCAGTTAGAAAGGACATCACAAGTAATATTGCAGAAGCAAGAATTCCTTTCAGTGTGATAGGAATTGACTTTGGTAATTATGTATTTTTATTGAAATTTCAGTGAAAATATTCTGAGTACTGTTTCATATTTACATCTGTTATAAAATATCATAAAATGAATTTCCTTAGCCTTGATATGACAAAAATTATGCTTGATCTAAAACTTTATGATGAAGTGAATCATAATATGCAGCACGATTCACTACAGATTGATAATTTGAATTTTTGAAACTTAAATTTACGGTAATTTAAAGCTTCGAAACTTAAATTTACTTCTTATGTATTTTAATTGTGATGATTCAATATTCATGATTCAACAATATAATGTTTTAATGTTATTGAATAATGAACCACACTTAGAAATTGACGTAATTGGAATGTGTCATTAAATATCTTTAAATAATGTTGTTGTTGATTGAATGTTTGCGTAATTTGATATTATTTGGATAGATAACATAAATGTTTTAATATGACTATATTTAGAAGCATTTGCATGTATGTCAGAGTTTAAGAATTAGGTAGAAAATTATATTCTTTTCTCAAAAAGCTCGTAAATAGCCCTGCAAAATTAATTCCTTTATAATATGTTTAATTTATTAGAAAATTGCATTTTATAAAAAAACAACCAGATTGGGCCACGTGGAACACTGCATTTGAAAGATCGCTTACTAGGAATAAAATGCTTAAATTTACTTTGCACATAATTTAAGTCACGAGAACGGGCAAACAAACTTCTCTTTTGGAATTAGAACTAATTCTTTAGAATTAGAACTGGGACTAAAAGGACACTCTTTAATTAGTTCATTCTTTTGGTATTAATGGACATCCTTATCTGAAATCTGAAAATTTTCATGAATGGTAAATTTTTAAAAAGGCGCTATTTTCTTAGGCTTGTAGAGACATTAGGTATTTTTTTGGAAGCAGGCAAGATGAAAAATGAGCAATCGCCTCCGCCGGCAATCGAACCACGGACCTCTGAAATTCCAGCTCAGCGTGCAGAACCACTACACCACGAATGCATGCTAGGAAGGCTAGAGAAATGCCTTATAGGCTTATAACTTTATTAAGCCCGAGAGAAAGTATGAATCCGCAGAGAATGGTAGAATGGATGTGTTTAAACAGAAATATATTGGAGTGTTAGAACGGATGCATTTAAACAGAAATTTATTGGATATGTATTTTTGAAACCAATAAGTGAAGATCCTGAATACCATTGGGTTCACATCCCCGTTCACTTCTAGATTGCATATCCAGTATTTTGACCATCCACCGTTACAGTGCTGATGTTTTAACGCCGTGGCTAAATCATATCCTCAGTTCACAGGCCCGTGGCTGTGCCATATATGACAGCCTTATGTACTGCAATCCTCGCAATTGCTATGCAAACTCTGTTCCACTCCATGCCCAACCATAAAACAGTTGCTTCTCTTGTCTGAAAAAAATGTTTGGAGTACTAACTTTTGCATACTCTGTACATCAGCATTATCTGAAATTTTAATCAGCGCATCCTTCCATTATAACATACTTGTAAAATACAGATTTTGCTAACTGCTTTTCTTCATAAAAGAACAATTTTTGTACTCTGCAGTGTATTTTAAAATAGATTTCACTTGATGGTTGTAGAGACATTACGTATTTTGGAAGCAGGAAAGATGAAAAATGAGCAAACGCCTTTGCCGGGACTCGAACCACAGACCTCTGGAATATGCGCCCAGCGTGCACACTACGAAGGCACGCCAAGAAGGAGGGAGAAATACCTTATATACTCCCCCTTTAAATGGCGACTAGGGTTTTTAGGGGACACAATCGCCAAATTTTGGGTGTGGAGAATCATTATTCACCACCCTTTTTAGTGCGGGCGTCACTGTACAGACATTAAGATTTTTTGAAAGCAAGAGAAAAGAAAAATTAGCAACGCCTTCGCCGGGAATCGAACCACGGACCTCTCAATTACGCGCTGAGCCTGCAAACCACTACACCACGAAAGCGCACTAAGAAGGCAGGAGAAATACCTTATATACTCCCCCTTTTAAAGAGCGACTGGGGTTTTTTTAGGGGACCCAATTGCCAAATCCTGGGTGGGAAGAATTATCATCCTCAACCCTGTTAGTTCCGGCGCCACTGTAGAGACATTATGTATTTTGAAAGCAGGCAAGATGAAAAATGAGCAAACGCCTTCGCCGGGAATTAAACCACGGAACTCTGGAATACGCGCCGAGCGTGCAGACCACCACACCACGAAGGCACGCCAAGAAGAAGTGAGAAATACATTATATGGTTATTCAGTTTCTGATATAAAACTTCGTTGATTTGAATAATCATGCGTTGAAATACCCATTTATTGATTTGAGTGTGATATCATAAAACGTGGAACAGCTAAAGATTTATTTTCTGCGCATAGAAATTTCTCAACAAGAAATGCATTGGAAAAACCAGGAAGTTCGATTATACCACTGAATAAAAACCTGAACGAAGTGAGCATCTAAAACAAGTGATATTTGCTGTAGTTCTTGTGTGATCATCTATATTCGGAAATAATCTTTATAGTTGACGGCTTTTTTCATTGAAATTATTCGGTAACGTTTTTATTTAGAGACGTCTCATGAATGTGATTATGTTTTCCAATAATTTCTCTTAGAAAGACATTCATTATACATATTTAGGGTTATTAGGATTATTTAAGTGCATTATAAAGTTGTTCTTGATTCCTGATAAAAATTCTGTGTCTGAGTAATAACCTAATAATTATTTATTTTTTTAGATTTGAAAAACACGTTAACTGAGCCTCAGACTTCTCTGAATGATGTTGCAGTTGTGAGTTACATTATTTATTCGACTATTGGACAACTTCTACCGCCGTTGTTTGATCAATTAATCAGGTAAAAACCGTATATTTTGCAATTAAATTAAAATGGTTGAATATTAGATAAGTATTTTTACTTTCATTCATTTACATGTCTTAAACTCTGTCTAAATTGCCATTTAACATATTTTGAAGGTATTAAAACCCTGTATTTTAACTTAAGTATTAACGCAGTTTAAAAAGTAGTTTACAATTCAAAGTAGCTTTCTTTCTTTCTTTTTCCTCCTTTTTATTCTTAAGTAGTATTTTATGTGGTTAAGTAGTATTTATACTTAATTGGAGATTCTCATCCACAAAAGCTTGCATAATCGTTTCCACTATACATGATAACTAATTTTTCTGTTTTAAAACATATTTGAAATTTGCATTCAAAAGAAAGGAAAGAGGAAAGACTAATTTGAAAAATTTTTTATCACTGAATGCGTACATTTTACTGTGTAATTCTTTGAAGTCCTGAAACTTTGCAGTTCTAAAATGCCCTAGTCACTTTGTATGATTTCATAAATTAAAGAATAACTTGGCTGTTTTATTATTATTGTTTCAAATGGCCGGTCATTTTCAAATTAATGAATTCTTCAGAAATGGTCAATGCCATTTAGTCGTTTCATCACTTAGAATGTTACCTAAGGTGCACCATTGTGGCCACCTAACACCCGCGAGAAAAGGGGAAGTTTAGTCTCAATTTTGATGGAGAACAACTCCGAGAAACAGATATAAGGGTCTCCCGTCCCTCTTTCCTTTTTCATTCTCTCATCATTAACATTTTACCAAACACTTTTAATTCTGGACAAAATGTGCTTCCTTCTGTTAACAAATAACTTATACAAAATTTTATTTCGTGACAAAAATATCATAGCAAATCGGAATAAACAAGCTCTAATGCAAACTGCGAAATTTTGAAAAATTTCTTGTGTGCATTTCTATGAAATATTTTTTTAAAATAAGTTAACTCTTGTGATAGTCCTAAGTCTACAAGTCACCGCACTATCATGCCAGATTTTGATCTACAAAAAAAAAAAAAAAAAAAAAAAATCAGAATGTTCCTTTGCTCGAAACTTTAGTGCCTGCTAATGGTCGAGCTTTTAATAGGCACTAAAGTTTAAAGGTCATTCAATATTGATAGTTCAGCGTCGGCCCTAATCCCAGCGAAGAGGCTGCTTGCGTGGAATTTATCATGGTTCTCTCAACATGGGTTTATAACGCGAATAGATGCCAGATTCCCTTACAAAGTACTCCATTCCTTGACTTCTTAGGCAGATAGCCTTTGCATACCTTAGCATAATCAAAATAAACAACGACTTCAGCATAGTTAATTTTCATATAGGGTGTTTTCATACAGCATAGTTAATTCTCATACAGGCAGGGAAACTATCTTATTTTAAAAATGAATAACACAAATAGTGTAAGCGATACCAGTTTAATTTTTTTAAGTTTTAGAGAGATGCTTAAAGTTTTTTTTATTACGTTTTAAAAATAATATCATTAAGGTGTCCTCCGTTCTGGTCAATGCATTGAGATAGTCGAGTTTTGAAGTTTCCTTTCACTTTTACCAGATATCAACCGGTATGTTGTCGATAGCAGCTTGAATATTGCTCTTCAGTTGGGCCAAAGTCTTTGGACGTTAGCGATTTCAGATAGCCTCACGAAAAGAAATCACACGGGGCTAAATCAGGCGAGCGCGCTGGCCACTGACAATCGCCTCGGAAGGAGATAAGGCGTCCAGGTTCTCCAAAAATTCATGGTCCAATGGTGCCTATTCTGGACAATGCACACCAAACAGTCACACGTTCTATATGGAGGAGCTGCTCGTGAAATTCTCGGGGATTCGTGCCACTCCATTATCGCATGTTTTGCTTAATGCATGCTGCAACCGGAAAAATGAAAATGAGCCTCATCGCTAAAGAACACAAGGGCATCATGAGGCATATTGTCAACAACGGCTTTGCGTGCATTTTTTCGTGAAAAAAATCGTGTGAATTAAGGTTTTGCACCACAGCCAATTTATATGGAGGAAAATGCAGTACGTTGAAAAGTACGACTCCACGGAGAACGCGCGCTCCTCTCTCGTCCACTGCATGACCGGTACTAAACCTACATGACATAAAACTTTAGATACCGCTCTTTTGAATGAGCGCGACCCCCCCTTCTTGGAATAAATGTCGCTAGATGGCGCGCGTTCCAAATAAGAAAATTTCTCTTCCGCACCCTGTATTTTCGGTTTCCACTTCATTACCATCCTCAGCATCGCTGCAATCATTGTTCTTCAGATCTACGCCGCTAATGATTTAGGCGTAACACACTACTTGAAAACTTGGTTAGCTGTTTGCTGCATTTATTCTTTCCGTAGCGTCATCCTTTTATCCTTTGAAACTGTCGAAGTCATTTTCAATTAACGTTGCTTTCATCTTTAACACATTTAAGCGCATCTTGTATCATAGTGTAATAGGAAGCCCGTTAAATGATCCATCGAAGGATATAAGAAAGGTAGAAAGATACATTACTTATAAAAATTCCCGAATATTACTGACTTTAACTGTACCCTTTCCCAGAGTTACTTTACAATTGATCCCTTTACAATTACAATCAATTGAGTTACTTTATGTTCTTTAAATTCGTTGTCGACCTTTTTAACAAAGACATTGGATGACAGAGGCCAGGTTAATAGAGGTTCTAATATAATACATCATTACTAGCTCACAGCAAAACATTAAATGTTTCAAAGCTATGTACATAGTTTCTATTTTAAGTGCCTATTACGTTTTTTTTTCAATTTTTTTAATACAACTAAATTTTTGTTTATAAATTTCATACTACCTGTGAAGAATGAGTATCAAAATACACTAAAAACTTAATTTCACAAATTATATACATTGTGTTTATGTAGATTGCATGTGCAACAAGTAAACAATATCTATAGGGGATAATATCTGAGCTATGAAAGAAATCACGTAACTTACTTATTTGTAACAGGTTCTATACATTCAGAATCGTTATCATAAGCAAAGTTACGCATTCACAAAACTTGCTTAATTTAAATACTATTTCAATAAATGCATACTTTAAAGATAAAATAGCAGATTTTTTGGATCATAATGAAGTTTGAAAAGTTTTATAAATTAAGTATTTTGGATTAAGCTGTAGAAAAAATAATTCTGTTTTTCTATTTTATTTCTAAACAAATTCTAATTGAAAATATTACTTTTTTGACACTGAAGCCAAATAACAGTTTCCCAAAGCAGTGCAAAGGAAAGATAGAATGAAGTGATGGTTCTAGACTTATAATAATGGTCCTATTTCATTAGTCAATGAATTTATAATTCATCATTTGAATCCCATTAAATACAGTTGCAAGAGACCGTAGTTCGGTCTATTAATAACGACTTTCCTATTTTAAGTGTTAATAACTATTAATAATTAAGACACAATAACACGCCGAACAAATACTAGTTCAGAAGTCAAACAACAAAAATCAGCGTTGTATTTTCAAAATTTTCACAGGACTAGTTTCGATGGTTTTACCGAACCACCATCCTCAGCTGCAGAACCGCAAATGAACAAGATAGGAAATAATGATAAGATAAGATATCTAACTGCGAGAGAAAGAGCTATAATGCGCGAAATTCACTCTAACCCGGATATTATCATTTCAAAGGCCGACAAAGGTAGCCAGATAGTCGTCATGTATAAGAACACTTACACATGGATCTTATAAGAGATAGACTAACCCAGTGGGTAAGCGTCACCGACATGTCGGCAAGAAAGAGTAGGGACGATCTGGTTTACTTTAACACTGAAACCTATGGCGTTTGTATCACATAACTCTTTTTAATTATTAAATGTGATACGTTGTATAGTAATGAGATTATGAAAGCCACAGTTTTTTCCAAATAGGATTGAATATATCTCATTAAAGCACTTTTTACTGCATTTCGCGCATTTTTTTCACGCGTAATTCTTGTACAAACATCTTTACTTTGGTAAAACGGTAGGCACAAAATTTATGAACTTAATTTTGCGTACAAATAACGTAAAATTAAATAAGATAGATAGTATGCGATGCTTTGAAATAAATAAGGTAAAATTAAACAAGATTTGATAATTTTTTTAAAATTTAATGAACATTTTCAGGCAGTGATTTTTCAAAATATAATAACATTACAAAACGATCATATTTATTTGATTATATTATCATTAAATTATTAACATTAAAGTGGATTAGTTATTTTAATAATTCATAAAATTCGGAGCATAAAATTTTCTGAGCGTAATGAAGGGAAAAAAAGATAAAATAAAATCTAGAAGCACTCTTTTTTTAAAGTTTTGTGTGTTACCTATATTTATTGAATATTATGTTCTTCGCCCGTAAACCACATACATTTGAAACCAGCATATCTTTAGAATTTCCGCACTGGAGATAAAACTGTTATTTTCCGCACAGTGCTCGCTCTGAACTCGTTGAGTTTGTTAATCAAAAATTCGTTAAAGGTTTACAAAATATGAAATAAATTAAAACAAATTCGAAATTCGGCCGTCCACATGCCTATGTTCGAGTGGAGGATTACATTATTCAAAATTTGATGGCTCTAGATACTGTCGTTTTTGTCACAGTGCGCGAAACATACATGTATTTATGCAGCTTCTTCATTATTTAATTTCTTTGCATACAATACAGGGTGAAAATATTTGGTAACAACAATTTGCAAGGAGACACGGACATTTATAGTAAAACAGCGCAAAATGCCGCTTCGAAACTAACAGCCTTTCTAGGCTACCGCCCCTTTGGGCTAATAAATTAAATTAACAGTAAATAAAAAAATCTTATGCAAAACTAAAAATTAATTAAAAAAATAATCACTATAAAATACAACCAAAATTAATTATTACGGTCAAATAGAATTTTAATATTAGAATTAAATGTATAAAAATTTTTAAGGAGTCAAAAGTGTTTATCACTATGATGTATTATGAAATATAATTGAAATAAAATTCCTGTATAGAAATTGTGCTATAATATTCATCTATAATTTTAAAAAAGCAGCACAATTTAGAATTTTAAACAAAACTTTCAAAAATTCATTTTGAAATATTTTAGTATTTTTTTACTTATTTACACCAATAAAAAGCATAAAAATTGCAAGAGAAAATTTTCTGTTAGTTCAGATTTAAATTATTATTTTCTAAAAGAAGTAGTTACTAATTTCCTTACAGCATAGGAAAACTAAAAAAAATATCCAGTCCTGAAAGCATGCAATAGCTTTATAATTGTTTGGAATGTTAATTATGCTTGATAAATATGCTAAATTTTTAAAAATCAATCTCAATTTCAAAAATAAAAATATATAGAAATGCTAATTTGTGAAATGAGGCGCTATAACCAGCGTTTTCTTGACAATTAAGCCATAGGCAACCAATGTTAAATTTCTGCATGTCGTCCCTACTCCTCCGGATGTGATCAAGGTGACAGCCGGCAACGCCTCATACGAGGGAGAAAACCCGTTTGGGTTAGTCTATTTCTTATAAGGTCCATGCACTTACATCGATGGTGTCACTAAACTCTTAAACGAAGGAGGATATAATCCGATCCCTAAAGATCCTTCACCTTCGGACTTGTCAAAACAACTGCGATCAAATCTTCACAAAATATTTCAAGCAACGTAAAACATTCGCTTATCCCATCTTTGCGAATTGTGCCAGATTATATGCTCTTCCCAAAATTCATGAAAGTGGTACTCCTTTCCGCCCTATTGTATCAAATTTAGGTACTGCCTCGTATCCATTAGCTAAATATTTAGTTTCTAGATTTTTAACTCTATTGGACAATAACATTTACACCATAAAATATTCAATAGAGTTTGTAAAAAAGGTTAAAAACATTTCTCCTATAAATTTACTCATGGTTTCTTTTGATGTAAAATCATTATTCACCAATGTTCCAGTGGAGGGGGCATTAAGATGTCTAGAAACCAGACTTCGTGAATTTCATTCCTCTTTCATCGAAATTGATCAGCTAATTTCTCTCACTCAACTGTGTTTGAAACAAACACACTTTGTTTTCCAAAATAAATATTACAAGCAGACTGAGGGATTAGCCATGGGAAGCCCCCTCAGTCCCACCCTGGCTGATATCTACATGCATTATTATGAATCAAAATTGTTTGAAACTTTAAACTTCCCGGCATGGTTCCGCTACGTAGACGATACTTTTACCCTGTTTGAAGGTAATAAAGATGATTTAAATAAAGTTCTTTCAACGATGAATTCTATTGATCCTGCTATTCAGTTCACTTTTGAACTTGAGACTTGCAATTCTCTTCCGTTTCTCGACATTCTGGTCACACGTAACACATCCAACTTCAGTACTACGGTTTACTGTAAATCTTCATCGGTTTGCCTTTCACCACACTTTAAATCATGCCATCCGACTAAACAAAAGTTAGCTTCATTTTATTCCTATGTTTTCCGTGCTCTTCAAGTTTGCTCCTCCAAACTACCCCTTGATGAAGAACTAAATTATTTAAAGGCAATAAGCTATTGACAGGGGCTTTTCACCCAACATTATTAATCAAGCAGTTAAAAAATTCTGATCTCAACATACTAAAAGACACACTCTTGTTTTAGGAGATTACAAAAATTCTGTTGTTATTCCATTTTTTCCATCTATTAGCTATAAAGTTGCACATATTTTGCAGAAATTTAACTTTCGGGTTGTTTATTCTCCCATCATTAAAATTCCGAGTTCCATACGCCATTCCGGATATGAATTCCTGGGGTATTTATAGGATTCCTTGCCAGTGTGGTTTAATTTACATTGGCCAAACTAATAGAGCCTTAAAATTTCGCGTCAAGGAACATGAGGCATACGTTAGAAAAAAGGAAACACAGAAGTTTTCTGTTGCTCAACATTGTTGGTCCGAAAATCACACTTTCAATTTTTCTTCTGCCAAAATTATTCAAAAAACATCTTCCATTGGAGAAATGGATTTTCTAAAGGCATATCACATTCAAAAAAATCTTTCTGTTCTAGTTAACAATTTTAATTCCAGTCCATCTTTGCCTTCGGCCTTTAAAGAAATTATGTTTTAGTTCTGGTTTCATCAACAGATGGCGCCACTTGCTTATACTTGTCCAGGCTTTCTTATCTTATCTAATCATTATTTCCTATCTTGTTCATTTACGCTTTTGCAGCTGAGGATGGTGGTTCGGTAAAACCATCGAAACTAGTCGTGTGAAAATTTTGAAAATATAACGCTGATTTTTGTTGTTTGACTTCTGAACTATTAATAGTTAAATGTTATCAACGGATAATTATAACGATTAATAGTTAAACCTTATTAACGAATAATTATAACAATTAATAGTTAAACCTTATTAACGAACGGTAACTATTAATAAAGATTTATATATTTTTTCCTGATAATTTCTAACAGAAAATATTACTTTTTGACACTGAAGCCAAACAACAGTTCCCTGAAGTAGTGTAAAAATTTCCAAATTAAAGATGGTGTAAAATAATAGTCCTAGAAATACAAAATAATTTATCATATTTCAAAGAATAGCCAGGGAATTTATAAATCGTCATTTGACTCCCAATAAATACTGTTGCAAAGAAGGAGCGTAGTTCGGCCTATTAATAACTAATGAACATTAGAAGGAAAAACTCTCAGGTTATATTATTGCTTTCTGAAATATACGACAGAGAATGTAAAAACAATTTTTCTTACTAAACACTGTGAAATAATTTATATGAGGATAACTTTAGCAAGATTACACAGTGTCCCAAGTTAAATTATATACTGAACGAATTTCAGAATAACTGGTTTTATTAGAGTATATGTAACATGGATATAATGTAACATACTGCCCTGTAGTGCATGTAACACTATTACAAAATACAGAATGTCTTTAACAGTATCAACACCAAAGAAATTAGCATGCTTTTCAGTTCGGTTTGTTATGCGTTTATTTGGACACTCTGGTAAGGAGGTATACATAAAAGCTCAATATTATTGCCTGCACACGGGTTCGTAATAGACTGAATGCACACAAACCGATGATAGCTTGAAAAATTTATTTTTACGAAAAGAAAGACTTTACAGTTCTTAAACTTCCCACTCAAACACTCATGCAGCTTTTCTCAGTAACCCGCAGCACAATCAGTAGTTGCACTCCAAACTTATAAGAACTTTCAATACAACGCAATACAAAGCGCATCTAAAAGGCGAAGCTCTTACGTATATCTCCATACTCGGAAGTTCTCTGAATGAACAATTAAGAAAAACCAATAACTGATGCTTTCTCTGATCTTATATAGTTTTCCGTCGGCCACCGAGAAATCTCTAGTACCTTCTCGAAATTACTGGAAGTCATATGAAGGGCGGATACGGTTACAGTTACATATAGGGATCAATTACAGTTATTCAATTACAATACCAATTGCAGTTATACAGGGACCGGCCAAAATGTCACCAAATGCACGCCCAGTTTGGCTACTTTTGGGGATTTTTTCTCCAAATGTTGTCACTAAAACCATCACCAGCTTGGCGATATCTCGCCAGTTTAGCGAGAGAGTACTGAATGTTAAATAGATTTACACCTGTATTCTTATTTTTCTCGCACATCCTTGTCTCTTTCGAGCATTTCATGCTATATTATTAAAAAAATACGACAATTTTACATATAATTTCATTAAAATTACTTATGTACAAAATTCGTAACAATATATATTCCAAGTATTGGTTTAGAAATTTAGTTCAAAACCTTATGTGAAAGCATGAAATTTAAAAACTTAAAATGCGGGAACTATTAAAAGAAAAGCTAATGTTTCGTTTTTAAAGCTGAAATGAATACTCATTACATTAAATTCGTGAATTTTAATATCTAGTTACTATTATCAGATATAAAAGCTCTTTGTAGATGTTTACTATAAAACCACTTTGTAATTTGTGTCTTGAGTGATGCAAGTAATTTGACTAAAGAGAATTTATATGCATTGAAAACTAAGTTCATAGCTAAAGGATGCCTCTGCGGTGATTTTTATTTAGTTCAGTTATTATATGTTTTAATATTAATTTATTTTTTTGGCTAGATATGGACTTCCTCTTGGTGTGAATTCACCAGTTTTAACTATTGCAGTAAAACCTATAAATTCCTCCGACCCCGAAGAATTATTTGAACATGCTGTGCATCTCAAGTTTAATGTGTTAAACAATATGGCTCTAAATCCTCAATGTGCATTTTGGAATTTTAAACAACAGTAAGTTGTAATATTTTATAAATATTTTATAATTATCTGTTTCTCAGATTACATTAAAGAATTTTAATATATGAATTACTGTGCTTGTTATATTTTTCTGTAACAATTCCTAGTGAAGCAGGCATTAACGTATAGTTGTTTCCCGTTTACTCTACTGTTTCAGTGAGTTATTTTATACACATGTGAAATTCAGGTACATTTTATTTGTGCACTGCCCCCTCCCCCAAAGTGGGACAGTTCTATAGTTCTCGTTCTACTGGGTTGATTGACGAAATTCAACTTGCGTTTTTCATGACTCGAAAGCGCAACTTAGGATATGTATTAGATTTATATATGGCACTGTTCTAATATAGGTATTTTGACACAAAATCAGACTTTTTCTGAACTAAACTGCCAATGTTTTTTCCCATTTCGATTCTATTACTCAAGTTATGCCAAACTGCGAAGTTTTGTAAAAATCGCACGAGTAAGCTTTAAAAAATTAGCTCTCAAAATTTTAGTTCCTCATTGTTAAGTGAATTTGATATATATTTATTAATGTCTTTCTTTTATTAAACTTATTTAATTCCTTCTTCCAGAATACGAAAATACGAGGTGCACATCTACATGCTATAACAATCCTATATACAAAATTTCAATGTTCTGGGGCTACTCGTTTTTGAGTTATGCGAGATACGTACATACGCACAGACGCCATGAAAATTTCCTTTCAGAATTCATTTTAAATCAGTTTTATAATTTTTTTGGGGGAAAAGAGTCCTTTATTCTGTCCTTACGTACGGATGTCACGCAAAAATATCGTTAAATTGCATTCGATAGCTGTCAAAATGGATATTTTCGTTGAAATATGATGCCTGAAGTTTTTCGCGATAACAACAGTTACTTTTTACTTCGTACAAGGAAGTAAAAAGAGAAGGATAATAGGTTGCTATAAATTTAGAAGTTCGCCAAGTAAATTATTCTTGGTGCAAACTGAAAAAAAAGAGGGAAGGTAAATTTTTGAATTTCTCCTTAAATTTCGTACCAAATTTTACAAAATTTAATAATTAGGCATACTTTGAGTTGGTAGAAACCAAATATGGAAAAAAAAATTGGCATGCCATTTCAGGAAAAGTCCGATTTCGTGTCAAAATACCTATGTTAGAATAATGCTATATATAAATCTAATACATATTCTAAGTCGCGTTTTCGAGAAATGAAAAAGGCAGTTTGAATTTCGTCAATCGGCACAATAAAACGGGAGATATAGAACTGTCTCCTTTTTTGCGTAGTGTACCTCAATATGTTGAATGTATTAATAGTACATAAAATATGCTGGGTTGTAAACATTTATGATTCAATGCGACGAATACTAACTTCACTTGAAGTAGACAGCCTCGGGTGCTTTGCTGTTACTAATTCAACAAACAACATTTATTCATTTTGAATTACTGTGAACAATACTGCAGATAAATCCTTCTTCCCTCAAAACACAATGATTATTTATCTAAACATATTTTAAAGCTTCTGACGCAGAAGTAAATGTCTTTTCATAATAAAACATTTCACATGTCGTACGGGCTTCTTTTCTGAAAAACATTATTTTACTGCAAAATTACTGTTCAGTGTGATATTGCAGACTGCTGCTAAATCAGATAAATAAATGGTTGCAAAAACATACTTCTGTGCTAAAACATTTTACGCAAGATGCTTATAGGGCAGTTCTATAAGAAGTGTAAAAAAGTACTGCACATTTGCCCTCGATGTAACATTTAATAGAACACACACCTTTTCCAGTACTTCTAGTATTACTAGAGAATTGGTAAAATGCCTCTTTTGGTATTTTTCGTAGACTAGTCGTAGCGTTGTTTCGAATAGCTCAAGTGATTTATAAAGGTTAACTCCGTTCAGCCGTCTTGATAAAAGAGCAGGGAAGTGAAAGGGTCAGAAATCTAGTAAATAAAGTGATTAGGGCATATCAGGGACCTGTTCTATGATCAAAGAAATCCATTTTCCTTTGTTCAAATGCTATGTGGCACGAATGACTGAAACAGGTCTATAGGTTTCATCCTTGTTTTGTGGACAGCAAGAACTACGCAGTTCCGGATGATTCGCGTACTATGTTCCATATAGAGTATGCTAGTGTCTTCGTACTCATATTTTCGGAAAGTAGTATTTTTCTGTCTAGCAGATGTAAATTTAAGGAGAAACGTTTATGCGTTACATTGTTGACTCAAACAAAGCATTATTTTTTAAAAAATATGTCTCTATAGAAACCTGTTTAAGGAACATCTTTTAAAAACATCTCTTTAAGAAAGGTGCGTGACTGTCTGAAATTTACATTTTTTATCGTAATATACTAGTACTATATGAATATATAATGCGTCAAATATGATTAATGTTTTCACTAAAAGTAATTAAGATAGCAAAACACACATAATTCTTCTCCACGGTATATGAAACAATCATTGAGTAAATTTTGAAGTATATTTTTCTGAAATTATCTTTTTGGACCTGGAATTTTACCGCATCAGGTATATTGATTGATTTTTGCATCAAAGAAAGAACTATGTCGTAGAAAAACTATACTAATTTTGAAGAATTTTGAGGACAGTCTTTTTATTTTTAGTTTTCTATAATAGTCAAGTAATTTCCTTAGATGGCCCAAGTAGAGGAATGTATAAAACCGCTGCCCTCTGGAAGTTTGAAGGGGTTCAAACCTGGATGAATGACTAACTGTATGGAAGTTTTTATAGTTTTCTCACGTGAAAAGTACGTAAATACCACCTGGTTTTCCTTAGAAAATGCTACAAAATAATTCATTCTCTTATACAGTTAGCCGTTATTAGCTTTACCACGAGAGCATATTGCTACTCATCGACGATGCATAATATCTTCTATTCCTCTTCGATATAAATAAAAGTGAATTGCGCATTATTTAAAAAGTTATTTTTTCTGCACTTCTGAATGGCATTTTGCAGCAAATGCTTTTTTATATCATTAACAGGGAAACACTCTGTGAAATAATTTGTCACGAGCTGTATAAAAGTCTATACGTATACGACTAAAATTTGTAACTCTTCTTCTTTCGTAGGATCACCAGTGGCCGCTGAACACTGGTAGTTCGGTCCAGGGTTCGAGTCCCGGCGAATGGGCTTGCTGCATGTGCGTTTTCATGGTTTTCCTCATGTGGTAACGTGATACGAGACAGTTTACATTAAAAGAAGGGCACACGTAATATGTGAAAACAATATACTTTTTTTATACATTGTCGTCTACATTCAGAATAAAATCTAAGTGGTAAAAATAAATATTTGCCTCAGCTTGCTTACCGCAAACCTCTTTCTATATACTAGTGCTTAAAATTTTATTGAAACTAAAATATACTTTTTAATATTTTAACATTCTTCTCATTACACCATTTTACTCTGGGGAAAAAGTGTCGAAACAAGTAATGAAGCTTTTAAAATTGAAATTTTAAAGCTGAATATTAATTTTATAAGGCAACTATAAAAATTTCGCTTTATAACTTGTACCCATTAAATGATACTTTTATATAAGACTGTAACAGAATTTTTGTACATTATTAATTTTTTAAAATTCTTAATGGTAAAGTATTCTTTGAAGTATTAATATGCAGTCTGCAGTTTTAGGATTGCTAAATAATTATTTTATTAAAAATAATATTCACTTTCAGAAGCGGCCGTACGAGATTGACCTATTTGAGATATCTGTTAAATTTCTTGTCGGCTTATGTTACATATAACCTTGTATTATTTTAAGTAACACATAAATAAAGGTGTTGATAATTAACAACTTGACGAAATATAATACATAAATCTTAAAGAAAATGTTCAATGAATTGATGCAGTCATTCCTATTTGTTTAGAAACCTCATTTAACATATTTTCCCCCACGGTTATTCTACGGCCCACCAGCGGACGAGCGGTAAAGACGCTGACCACGCGTAGTTCGGTCCGAGGTTCGAATCCCGCAAACGGGCTCGCTGCATGGGCGTTTTCGTGATTTTCCCTATGTGCAACGTGTATACGAGCCAGTTTCCCTTAGAAAGTCCTCCACGAAGGCATCCTTCCCTTTAAGCAGATAGCCCTCGTGTGCTTTACCATAATTGAATAATCCAATCCATGGTTATTCTCAGTTCACACCCTTTTATTAGATATTAAATTCAAATTTTTCGCCTTTTATATGGAAAAATTATCCTAAATGTCAAATTTTATTTGTTCTCTTTATTTTATTTGTCTTAATGTCCTCTTGTAAAATAACGAAAACATTATAAAGAGCAGAATTAACAAGCAGAGCTTTAAAGTTACGATAAAGACATCATTTAATGAAAATTTGAAAAAGCGGAGGAAAATAATATAAATTAAAAGTTTGTAGAGCGAAATTATTTTTAGTTCCCAATTGAGAATTAGTGCTGTCCTTCAAACGCAAATATAGGCAGGAGTATTCTCAACCATTTTTTAAAATTTCGCATTAAGGCATAATTTGAGACATAGAATCGTATCATAGAAAGAACCTAGTAAGCCATTTAAAAAAGTCTGATTTTTATCCAAAATACGTATGTTAGAACAACGCTATGAATTTATCTGATATTTATCTTAAATTCTAAATTTTGTTTCAAGAAAAATGCAATTTAAATTTAGTCGATCGGCCAAGTGGTATGGGAAATATAGAACTGCGCCATTTTTTGATTTGAAGACCCACCAGTTGCTGAACACTGGTAGTTCATTCCGGGCTTCGAGTCCCGGCGAACTAGCTGCCTGCATGGGTGTTTTCGTGTTTCCCCCTATGCATAACGCGCATACCAGGCAGTCTTGCTTATAAACTCTTTCACGAAGGCATCCCTCCCGATAGGCAGATAGCCCTTTAATGCGTTGCCATACTTAAATAAACGAAAATCATTTTTTGATTTGATCACGGTACATTACCGAGGTCTGATATCTAATATTTAGAGGAACAATTTACCGGCCCAATAGCAATTAGAGTGTAAAGTTCACCAGGAACTAATGTTGTCGTGGCATAATGCGCCCTGATGTTTCACAAGTTGAACCTTTTTGGTCGTGAAGATTAACGCGTGAAACATTATCACCTATTACCATAAAGGTATTTGCTATTCTTCGGACACACGTGAATTCACATACTTTGAATAGACATCTGACGTTTTATTTTCTCTGTGCCAGACAATTTAGTAGCAGAATATGTGATGGCACGCAAAACTGCTCAACAGACTAAGACAGCTGTCTCTTAACTGTTTCATCCTTGAAATGCAAATCATAGTAGCTTGCAAATACGGCTTTCATGTATTTTGCTTTTTTTGGTATCGCAGGCCTGCAATTTATTTGCTAGAACTGACATTTCATCATTTGCTAGACTTGACATTTTCTTCATTTAATATTTCTTAATTTTCATAGTTAAAAAAAAAAAAGATTATAAAAATCTGAGAGGTTTCATATTTTAAATTACGTCCAAAGGGGCGTTTTTTTAACATTTTGTCTGTTACCTTTATTTATTAAATATCACGTTCTTCGCACGTAAGCCATAAAATTCATTTCAAGAAAAATATCGCAAAATAGTTTTAAATTGAGCATATCTGTAGAATTTCCGATACGCAGTCTCAGGCGCTGGACATCAAAATGTTTTTATTTAAAAGGTTGCCATTGCTCGCTTTGAAATCCTTGAGTTTGTTAATCAAAAATTCGTTAAAGATTTACAAAATATGAAATCGATAATAAAACAAATTCCAAATTTCAAATTTGGGCTTCCACATGCGATGACGTCATTCAAAATTCGATGGCTCTATGTACCGTTGTTTTATCACAATGCGAGAAATATACATACATTTATGCAGATTTTTCATTATTTTTCAAATATAAGGGACTCTATAATTTGGTGGCAACAGTTTGAAAAGTGAAACGGACATTTATAGTGAACCAACACCAAATCGCAAAACGAAAACAATAGTCCTTCAGGGACAAAGCCCCTTTGGACTAAAAAAAAAAAAAAATAATAATATAATAATAATAATAATAATAATAAAAACTAAGAGTCATAAGCAACAATTTCTGTAGATGTTTCTGGTAAATCGCATACTTAGAACGTCATGGAAATTTACAAACTGATATTCGACTGATCTGACGTTGTAATACATCATTTCATAATACGAATATTACATGAATATTCAAAAGTAGAATTAGGTTTGTAGGCATTTTGGTCGTTTATTTTACATCCAAGATATGGAATGTGATATGACTTCAGTTAAATTGACAACTCTAAAAAGGAATAACAAAAGTACTATGCGTTAAATATTAACTCAGTGGTGTATTTCATATTGTAATACGTCAGATTAAGTAATTTCGATTCATTTCTTTATACAGTGCCCCATTTGAGAAAAATATAACTTTTGAAGGTGGATACGGATACTATATTTTGTTCCATGCGCATGGTCAAAGTAAATCAGAAATTATTATTCAATGATAACTTCTATTTTATCTAATTCTTCTGTCGAGATCATCGAATTAAACTGAGGGAAAAACACATATACGTATACATTTTAAGAGCTGTCATAGGTCTGAATAAATTTATCAAAAAGGATTTCGATAATGTTAGTTTCTAAATCATTGTCATTTGTTTGAAAAAATCTTCAGACTCTTCATTCCTCTTAGTTCTACCATCTGCTATTTGATAAAGATCCGTCTTTGTAAATATCGAATCAGAGTCATTCATATTCTTTGCATATTTTGGATTATAGAAAATGTGTAGAAAAGCAAAATTGTAACTTTTTTGCTCAGTGTTTAAGGAGTCAAAAAATTTTGTATTCTTACACATTTTGTTTAGTAATATGTATATAAACATTTTGTTGAATATTTGTTTTTTCAAATAAAAGGCTGCAGTAATGGAATGTAGTATTTTATCACGTTCAGGTTTCCTTATTCATAGAATATGAGCTAAGAAGTCACTTTAAAATTTATAATATTGATTTGATATTGTTTTGATTTTCTTTTCTTTTAAAAAGTATAAGGACATACAAGATATATATTATGTTTTCGTATTACAGCCGTGGTCATTGGTCAAGTGAAGAATGTAATGTTGCAGATTTTGTACCTGAAAGTTCATACATTATATGCAGCTGCAAACACCTGAGTAGTTTTGGTGTGATAATGGAAAGAAATCACCAAGAAGTAAGTCACATATATGCGAATAAGTTTTTTCTTATTAATGGACTGAGAATAAAACTATGGTGTAAAAATTATTCAGTTGTTCAAAATAGGTGGAATGTACATTTTGTCATAGTTTTATTATTTGAAATAGGAATTACAAAACTTCAGTAAAACATGCATAAACGAATACATCAAAATACTTTTCAGAAGGTGAGTTGGAAGCACGTAAAGTATGAGCAAGGTAGTCAATATATTTAAAGTTCAGTTGTATGTTAAGTAGAATTGATCTGCAAAAAGTTTTCTGCTTAGCATTTGTTTCAAATACCGCAAATTGGACTGGTTATACTTTAATTATAAGCAATGCAATTTCATTTAATTTTATTTTAGTATCGAATAACGTTTCTTCCATACATATTAGTTCACCTTTGGGAGCAGGGTTTCTATTTTTAATAATTACTTATAAGCCAGATCAAAGGAGACAATTTTCAGGCCACATCTTCCCCAATTTTATATTTTAACTTGGCAGTACAAAAATAAACATTGTCAATATCAGATGTACTCGTGATTTTTACTAAATAGATCTAAAATGTTAATTTAACACAATAAAAATAAACATACTTTATTAATGTCGCGTTAATCAAATTCTGTTTAAGAAAACATTTTTTTTTCTCTCTCAGAATTACACTAAATAAATACAAAGTTATTAAATTCCTAAAATTCTTTCAAAATTGCTTATTCTTTCTTTAGTCATTAACAGCAACTACATTTTCTATAATAAACAACTTGTAGCTTTAACACTTAAAAATGAATTATCATATTAATGTAAATCTCTTGTTGCATGCTATTTTAAATTAAAATAAATTTGAATGCTTAACTTGTTAGAAAAATTCTAAATGCTTACTTTATTCATTACAATGCAAATTTTACCACTTGACTTTTCCAACGTTAAGACGAATATTACTTTTATATGCTCTTGAAAATTGTTTTTCATTTTAAATGATACCATTATGCTTATGTAATAGTTTGTTGCTTAGTAATAGTTGTATCCATGCTTCTTGAGTAATAATTGTTCTTCCATTAAACATAAGAACTGAAAATTACGTCACAAGCTTTGCTTCTTTTTTATACTTGATGTTATTTGCCACAAAATAATTTGAGTACTGATTCTATTTCTTCCAAATAAAAGTTGAAAGTTTGGTCATAAGTGCCTGTTTTGTGCGTAAGTGACAACAACTTTTATATATATATGACAACAACTTTTATATATCATGGTCTAATGCCTACATTCTGAAGGCTACACATGAATAGAAAGCCTGAGCTCTGTTTAAAATACAGAAGTATGTTACTCCATCTTCTTTAAATCGGTATAGTTTCTAACATTGTTTTTAATCCACAATGAAGCAAAAAATAAATTTTTTAAATGTGTCACAATCATGATGAAAAACAAGTCCATTGGTGTTCAAATTTTGAAAATAATAATAATGAATCACAGGAAAATGTTGCGCTACTCCATACTTCTGGAATGTCCAAGAGCTATTGCTTATCCTATCAGATAAACGGAGGCCTGGGAATGAGATATATAACGCACAACACATGAGACATTATTAAAAAAATCACAACTGCAGAATAGAGCACTCATGCGTTTTAGCTGTGTTACAGCACTTCTGTGAAATGAATATTTCTTAGTGAATGGTAATGTACGTTCTTATGCATTAGCTGTGCTAATAAGAATATAAAGTTTGTGAATGCTTTAACACAGCGCTTCCTTGCGTTACAGCATACCCTACAAAAACAGTTTTATGTTACAAGCCAGCATGGGACCTTGCTAAAAAATTTCAGAGGTTACAGGGAATAAAATTTATAGGTATATTGTGTCCACATGATTGTGGGACATAATCTCCTTACTCGCAGGCCTACAAAATACAACCCGTTAACTACAGTCAGTTAAAGTGCAACCTGACTAATAATTTGTTTACCTACAAATTGAGATTTAATCCGAATGCCATTATTAAGTAAAATATTAAGAGCGATTAACGTCATACCTTTGGAAAGCATTTAAAAGTCTGAAACCCTACAAATCGATTTGGTATTTGTAGTATGAGTTAGCATCGTATTTGGTTCAAGTAAACTCAGCTTTATGTGCATACGAATAGGAATCCATCTGACATATCAGCACCAGTATACAATATTATATCCAGAATCTGTATGGCAGGACGTATTCAGTGTGCCATTCTACAATAATGGGCCTAATTATTCAATGGTATAATATTACCTGAATTCCATTTTATGTGTGAAATGGCACATCCTTATCTAATCGCTCTAGTGGAGACATAACTATGAAATGATGGAGGGTACCATTTGCTTAATGGCTTTTTTTTCGATTATGTTCTATGCACCATACATATAACATACCTGGGATATCTCTTGCCACCTTCTAGAACTGTTTTAGAATTTCGAATAACATTATGCAAGAATGGGATTTCATACCTTAAGCAAAGCTTGATAATTTTATATGTCCGAAAGATGTGCTGGTGGGCGGGACACCAGTATTTAATCATTGGTCGTACAGGTATAATCCCGCCGCCCTAAATGTGCAATTTATATACTTTCACACAGCTTGTTGTAAACATTTGTATTTACAAAACACAAATAAGGAACTACATTCTCTTTTATATTATAAGGTTTTACATTAATCTAACCAGTTATTTTTTAGTTAAACTTTCCTGTTTCTCCTGATTTCAGTTTCCTGCTGGAATGTAAATTTTTGCATGACGTAGATGTAAATTCTCAACGTGTTTCAGAAACAGTATTTAAGCAGCGTTTCAACAGTTCAGAAGAGTAGTAGCGGACTTAGTTCCCATGTTTATGCTGCGAGATTAAATTTATCTCTCTAGTTCGGTGTTTGACACCTTTTAGTTTATATTGATATTCCTCAGCTCGGTTCTGCTGTGTGCAGTCGATTTATTTTCAGTGTAAGCTAAGGAGCCAGTCATTAAAATTCTTGCCTTATTAGTGATTTGTTACATTCTTATTTTCCGTTACGTAGCCACAAGTGGAGGTGACTTGTGAGCAAGAAGTTTGTGATTCTGTTTTAATTTAGATTTAATAAAAAGGCTATTTAAGCATTTCTTCTGCAGTGTTTTGTCCTTAAAGACATAGCGAGAATTCGCTCTTAATCTTACGTATAGGGTTTAATAGTGTATGCTCCCAAAGAGTTCACGGAAGCTCTATAATATTAAATACAGATAAGGTCTTTAGCTCCACGAACAGGCTTTCTGTTTAAATCACTACGGCCAAACCGCTAGTGTTGGTTTCACATTAAATTGCCATTTAATTCAATATAATCCATTTCTAAAACACGTTTTCTGGAATTTTATGCATAGTGTTAAAACCTATATATACTTTATCTATAGTTATGGTCATATTTGCATTTTCTTTTTATTCATAATTTATTTTAGTTGGAATATTTTGCACCTTAAAAGAACTATTGATTGTCTAGGTCTTAATCCAAAGTACCTTTAAGAATCTTCTGAAGGTATGCTTAAGCATTTATATTTAAAATTCCATGACATAAACAAATGTCATAGAATAGCTCAAAATTTCTTGTGGCAGACATATTTGCCAATTTTTTATCGGCAGTTGTAGTGCAAAATACTTCCCATGCTATGGAAGGCACTTTGAGAAATAAGACTATAAAAAATCAACCATTTAAAGTGATAAGAAACGGGATTTGCACATTTATCTTCTAGCAAAACGTTAATAATAAAAAAATAGGTATTTTAAAATTTTTTATGCTTGACAATTTTGTTACCATTTAAAGAGCATATTTGCGGGTAATAATTGTCATGAGCTTAAATTATGATCTTGATAAACTTAAAATGACAATGCTATTATATAGTTTTTGGGACCTTATGTAACATTGATTCTGCTGTATATTTTCAATGTGTATTTTTATTGAAAACAAATAGCATTATTGTACGATTTAACTCTTTATATTAAATTATTTAGGTATGTAAAATTATATACAATCACATGTTTCTTACAGTTCTAATGATTTTTTTGCAGTTTGTGCCATCTGAAACAATTATTCAGAATATCGTTTCATACATATCTATATTGCTTTCCTTAATTCTGCTGGCCTCTACTTTTATCATCTTATGTTTGCTGCGGGGTTCTCAGACAAATAGTAATGCTATCCATATTTGCTTAGTGATTTCTGTATTTACAACTGAACTTATTTTCCTGATTGCTTTGAAGGCCAGGCATTCTCTTGTTTTGCAACAGGTAAGAAACTGACTTTTATACAGACTTTTCTATCTGCCCTTGAAGTTAATTCCATGCACATCCATATAGCATTCATTTTTGCACCTTCCAATACTGTTGTGTAATATTTGTTGCAGAAGGGTATTAAAATAGTGTAGCTAAAATCACTGTAATATTTCCACTTAATTTTAGCTGTATAGATCTTGAAAAAAAAGTATTTCAAACATTTTACCTGCTTATACATATTGTTTTCTTCAATTATTGCATCGTATAAACTAATAATCGTGCTTTTAATATTGCAGTTTCCTTGCAAAATGATAGCCATTCTTCTACATTTCCTCTTTCTGTCAATTTTCTCCTGGCTTCTAGTAGAAGCTATTCACATTTTTCGCATGATGACAAATATATGTGATATAAACCATGGCCCTATGCATTGCTATTTTTCTATTGGATTTGGTAAGCATTCGTTTTCGTGCATTGCTGCAGTTAGTATTTTCTATTGCACACAGAATTTTAAAAATAATTGAAAAAAATTAACAGTAGGCAATACAGGAAAAAGAATTTCAGATTAAATAAAAAGAATAATTCTCAAAATGGGAAAAGCATTGGTATTATTAGGCCGTTAATAATGAAGTTATATATTTTTTAAAGAAATATTAAGAATGATGTTTATTTTCGTTAAATGTTTGTTTAAAATATTTTTAACGAACAGAAGATGCAAGTGCAAGTATTTCAAAATGATTATCAATTGCAATAATTAAAATTCATGCATGCATATTTAATGTACATACTTTATTATTTATATATAGTTTCAGAATTTTTATTTCTTTCGTAGAGAAATTAAATCTGTATATGTCTCACTAATATAAATGTACATTAACTGCAGGTGGCCCAGCTCTAATTGTAGGATTATCTGTTGGAGTTAGTGTTGACCAGTATGGAAATCATTTTTTGTAAGTAGCTGAATTCTTAAGCATTTAATCAGATGTATTATAAATATATATATTTATTGGCGATAAAAAGTAAAGAAACGACTATAAAAACTCAAGTAACGTGAAGGAATTTGCAGTTAAGAATACGGATCTTGCAAAAGATCTTAATTTTATAATATCTGAACATATCTTAAAAATGCAGAATTGTCTGTTTGCGCAAAAAATAAATGTAATTAAAAACATAGGAAATGTAATATAAAATGTAAAGGTTGGCGTATGAAATAAAAGGGAAAGTTGCTGTTACAACTTATTAGAGGAACATAGTCTTTTGAAATAATGAATAATTTTAAGGTGAAAACAAGGATTTAATTAAAATATAAACAGCTCCATGTTCCTTACTGTTATTAACTTATCAATGATCAATGAAAGGCTCTACAAAACTATAAAGTACTTTATTAAATTCGAAAGTATATAGTTCCACCCCTTACAGAAACGAATTTCTGTCATCTAATAAATACTGAATTGATTGAAATGATAAGATACCAGTTGTCATTCAGTAGATAACGCAAATACCAATTCACGGAATGGCTTTCCTTTCTTCTAGTCTCACTTGGTGGAGCTATCACGCCAACTCACAGTTTCCAGCAACTTCTGTGACTGTAAAATGAAAGTTTCAGTCTAAGGCCTCTTTGCTTGAATGATGTCCCGGTTCGATAATATGTTTAGCAAACTGGGAGATCCTGGGAATTGTACAATGACAACTGTTAAATGTTGAAAAAACCCTATGATCTGCTGCATTTTGTTTGTCGTTGCACCATTCGAGGAAGATGTAGCGACAACGATATGAAAGCGTGGATTCGTCTTACATCCTCATGTCAACGTGCCTGGATAAGACAATGTAATGCAATGGGACAGAACATATTTTCACTGAAATGTTTATTCCCTTTGCTTAGTGTGGAGTTATAAATGGAGATGAAATATACTAAAATACCATTTCCGACTAAGCCCATTCAATGATGCAGATGGTTTTTGCACTCAACATATATAATTCCAACAGAACAAGTTTTCTAAGCATAAAGCATAAGATTGTACGCGTATGTTTTGAGAAGCATGATAAAGCATGTTCTCGTTTTAAGTCATCTTTTCAGTCCCCATAACTTTACTGTATGGAGCACTTGTGGGTGAGATCGAAAGGTGACTCCGACAACTGTAACCTTAACAGTCATGCCTTTAGAAACTGGAAGATACATTTCATCGCATTTGGGTTTATTTGTCCCACGGAACATACCAAAAGTTAATCGAATACATTCTCATATTTCAAGCTATATTAAGCACAAAAGTAGCCCAAAATTTATCAGCCGAAACCATAATGATTTCACTTCTTAGTGTATACCTGTGTTAATAAATACCCATCTTCATATAATTTGAGACTTTAATGTGTACTTTCACTAGAGCAATAGATTATTTAAAGTTTGATTCTAGCAGTCTTAAGGTCATTGTTCAAAATTTACGTTTGTATTACATATGAAGTAAACAATGAAAATATTACGGAATGAATTTGTCCAGTTTGTTAGACCTGTCTTACCTATTAGTTATTTGCTCAGCTCACTGAAGTTGTTCGAATTTTTGTTTTTTATTTCATAATTTTTATTTTACTCAATTCAACTTCAGTAACAATGCAGACCATATAAAATTTTGTCAGTATTAATGAAACTCATATTACAGACTTCAGATATCTTTTATAGTAAATTTATATTTTCTGTCTACATATTAAAAAAGAATAATGCTTTATTTCGGTTATTTACAGGAAGAAAATATTGTAGTTCCTAGTTTTCTGGTTTTAATATTTATATGCCGGAAATAGTAGGTTTCTTTGTATGCACCTTTAAAATCGAACCAATTATGGCACCATTTTAAATGTAAGACAAATGTAATACAATTATCCGTGTAAATGTTATATCCTTTAGTATTCAAAGTTAACAATTAATCTTTAATGCTTTCTATAAAACATTCAACTTTCTTAACACAGTTTTATGGGTATTATTAGTACTTATCTTCATTGTGTAAGTACGTCTGTACGTAATGTTTTTAAATTCCAAATTTTTCTTTGATAGTTGCTGGTTGTCAGTGCATGAAAATGTAGTCTGGAGTTTAGTTGGACCTGTCTGTGTCATCGTAATCGTATGTATTATTTTTTCATATATCGTGTTACTATTTTTTATTCTCAACAGACATAACTACGTATTGATATGTAGTTTATTTAAAACTGAATCCATTCTAAAACTGAATAGATGTTCATTTTTTTTAATTCTTTACTGTATGTTTAGCAAAATTTGTAAATATATAGTTTGACCTATTCCTGTGATACATGATACATATCAATTGAGAGAATTACTTCATCGAGATGAAAAAGACATTCAAACTTCATGAAATAAAATATCAAAACATTTTAAGCTGCAGTTTTAGCCTTTAAAATGCAAAAAAATAGTTTTGGTTCAATAGCAACGCGGAGAAGGTAAACGATTTAGTAGAAGTAATGAAAATTATACTCTAGACTTTGAACTGTTTTTTATTAGTCAGTAGACAAATGTAAAAATATTATAATAGCTAATCTCATTTTAATATTATAATACCTAGTCCACGCTCAGACTATTCTTTATGAAAGATTTCAGGAGTAAAAATGATATATCACTACTTAGTATTGCAGCTCCTGACTCAGCCTATTTGAGAGGCATTAGATTAGGTTAAATTAATGTAGCAAAGCAAGTAGGGTTTTCCACAGAGGATTTCGTGTGCGAAGAGAAATGTTTCATATTGTGTCATTTACACTTGTATTATAGGATCTCGTCTGTGAAGAGAGATGCTTCATATTGTGTCATTTACACTTGTATTATAATGATTTTTTATATGTTATCCATGAGAAAAATCTTATTTAGTATCACACAGCTTATTTTATTCGGAAATGAACTTAGAAGGAAATTAACAGTGTTCGGTTCTGTTAGAGTAACTAAAGAATTGAACTGAAAATATTTCAGATTTTATTTAAGAATTTGTTTCAAATGGTCGTATGAATAATTATTCAAAGAATGTTTAATGGCACAAGTCCATATCCAAAATGTTCCAGGATCTCTGATACCAAAAATTTGAAAAGCAACATACTTGACAATTACTGCTTGTTTTCTTAAAAATGGAGTTACCTTAGGATCTACTTAGAATTTCCCGCGTTTCTGAAGATCCTTGAAACGATTTTAGAAAGCATTTCCTGATATGCCTTCGAGTTGCTGTACCGCAGTTGCTTGGATGGCTAGAATATATGCATGACTCTGTCCTTTTAGCGCACTTTATACCATGGGAATAAGAAGTAATCACCGGAGTTTATACGTTATGGTGGGATATGACAATACAGTTATCTGATGCTTTGTCAGGAACGGGTGAACCGGCAAAGCGGTATATGATCTTGCGTTATTATGGAACAAGAATCACCTTCTTATGTACCCATAAAGATGGACGACAGCGATGAATACTGCATCATAAACGTTCTGCTGCTCTCTTGCAAAAAATATTATTTACTTTTTTACCCACGGGTAGAACTTCATTGCGGTAATACATTAAAGAAAAAGGTTTTGGAGGACCTTTTTTTTGGTTTTTGTTAGCGATGTCTACATGCAGGTTTGGCTCCAAGAATTACATTTCGAATTTTCGCTGAAATTGTAAGTGTCAGTAAACCAACCTGTCATCACATGTTTCGTACGGAAAAAGAAAAGTAAGATAAAATACTGCCAGACTTCATACCTCTATTCTGACCGATGAGTAAAATGACGCTCTGTCATCGATCTTTTTAGATTTGCGGTAGAATAGAAAGCGGCATCTTGTTTGCTGCGGAACAATTATTGTTGGGAATGAAACCTATTACCTGCGACATGTTTCACCCTAAAAGCTGAAAACTGCCGAAAGAAGAGGTACCCAATGTAAGTGATTGCAAACATCCTGTATTTTTCCGTCTGTGAGAGATTATAGAAGACGCCAAGTAGTTTATAAAAAACGGAAAATAACAGAATTGACTGTCGACAAACAGTAAGTTCTGTTCTCATTTTCAAGGGACTCTCGGCCGTCACAGAAACACGCTTAAAGCTTAAAAACGGCTCCGGCTTAATGCAACATCTCTATAATTTTTTAAACATGTGTTGCGTTTCCACAACTGATTTACTTTGTTTCAAGTAAGAAAAGCTGTGTAAATTACTATCTCACGGCAACGAGATACGAGCACTTGCAATTATCTTCGAAATTCTCTTTATGTTGCTTCTCAAAAATATGATACATAGTGGTTTGTATTTGCTTCTTTAGTGGACAATGATTGTTGTTCCAAAACAAATAGACAAATTTTTTGTTGCAATTATTTCACTCGTTATTGTGTCAGTCTGGAACGCTTTGGATGTACATATGTATTTTAATTATTATTTAGGTTTACAATATTTGCATTGTTTCCAGTAATACTGTTACACTACTGTAATGCTTTGAAATACAGAAAATCCCAACTTTTATAGGTAACCTTAGGAGTATTTATATCAGCACTGAAATCAAGTTTGGAAGCTAAGGATGCAGTTACAGACTTTGGCAACTTGAAGTACAGTACTTTTGTATTTAACTCAGAAAATTTAATATGTTGTGCAATATAAAAATTTTGGCTTCCTCTGAATACCTTATATATGCATAAATTATATAAATATGTAATCTTTTACGACAGCATAATGTTTTCTTTGTTTAGGTTTCATTAAACTGATTACATTATGTGTTTGTAGTTGTCCATGTAATAACAAACCTAAATAAAACTGATAATAAAAATTATATGAAATTATTCATATTTTATAGATATATAGTGTTATTCGAAAATCTGTAAAACTTCCCACTGCTTATAAAAATCGAACAAATGGGTATAACAGCTATTTGCTGGAAAATCGCTAGGACGGGGTTTTTCCCCCATCGAGAAAGTTAAAAGAAAGTTAAACTTTTCTAATAGAGGGTGTTGTTCCACATTGAAAGGAATGATAACAACCATAATAGATTTAAGCCAAAAGAGCTTTAAGAAAGATTTATTAACCGGCAGGAAACACATTACACTTCATACAGAGTTTCCTCTAACAGAAAAACATGTAGCATTTCCAGTGATGTTCTTATTGTGATAGTTCTGTCGATATAGTGCAGCACCCTCCATCTGTAAAAACAGAAACCCCTACCAAAAGGAATCTCTCTCCTTGCGACTCAATTTCATACGGAAGAAACTTCACAGTACCTATGTATTTGAATATTATAAATTTTTGAAATCCTCAGATACTTTTGACTGACCCTGTAAATATATTATAAAGATTTTAACCTTTCCCAAACCAGTTACCAAAGAGTCGAAAGCAATTGATTCTATGACGGTCAAATCGTCCGCAATAAACTAGAGTCTGGTCTGGCTCAATTTTCTCCTGTTCATGCTAAAAAATGTGGCTAGGGTGTATATAACTCGATTAAAAGAACCGGCTGGGATACATGTCCCATAAATACACAAGATTTAAATATCAGTATTTTTATTTGTAACAATGGCAAATTTATGTTTATTTCAATGGATCAATTTATCACAATAATAAATGAAAACAGTTAGCTTTAAAAGTAGCAAAAATAATCTTCAGTTTCTTCAAAAGTGAAAAGTTTCTTCAAAGTTCCCATGACTGAGATATGATTACGGACACGAAGTTAGCTGAGTATATGAAAACTGTTCTTGAAACAGTACTATTTAGGGTAACAATGTAAAACGGAACTTATTCACTTCACTGAAGTAAGAGAAGCAGTGGTTGGGGCATATATGTCCCGCTGGGGGGGAGGAGGAGCCGAAGGAGTTAAAATAATAATTGTTTATTTTTCATTAGTACTCAAAAATCTGCGCATAAAATTAAATATCACATTTATTAAAATTGTAAAGAATGAAATTTTTCAACATACCTTTTATGCTTAAATTTGATAGTGCATTATATGGAAGACAAAGAAAGTAATTTTTTACATATACACATTTAACTGTACTAAACGTTATAAATTATGTACAGTGCTATTCATCTATTTTGCTATGTACAATACTATTCACTTATATGCAATCCTCATTCATTTTTAAGACAGAGTTAGTATTACTATGATAAACTTAACATAACCTAATTTTGTGCATTATTCATTGGTGTCCGCAGATAACATCGCGGCAAAAACATCGCGGACGAAAACATCGCGGAGAAAACAACGCAAGGCGAAAACGTCGTGCTACAAAACATCGTGGGAGAAACATCGCAAAGAGAAAAATCGCGGTTCTAAAAATCGCGGTACAAAATATCGTCGTCGAAAATAAAGCAGTTCAAAAACTTCGCAGTTTAAAACATCGTCGTCGAAAAATCGTGGTAAAAAATAAAAGCATCTACAAATCATCGCATGACGATAACATCGCGATATGCTTTTCTCAGGTTTTAATAATTGTAAATGGTATTCCCATAATGATTTGTGAGCGCAAGATGTAAAGAAGGATAATTTTTACTTTCACATCTTTTCATTAACTAATAAATTTTTGCTGAAAAAGTAGAAGGAACTTAAGCATAGAAAACTAAATGCAACTTATAGATTATACTTTTCATGAAAAATTACCAGTGAAAACTTACAAAAAATGATTTATTAATGCCTTTGTTACTTAACTATGTCGTTTAAAATTCTATTAAGTGCTATAAGTTGCATTAATTTTCTATGCTTAGTTCCTTTTTTTTCTCAAAAATTATTGATTAATAAAAATCTGAAAGTAAAAATACCCTTCTTTCCATCTTGTGCTCACAATCATTACGGGAATATCCATGCATAGTTATTAAAGCCTGAAAACAGCATGTTTGCAGTTTGCGATGTATCGTCATGCGATAATTTGTAGATATTTTATTTTTTACCACGATATTTTCGACGACGATGTTTTAAACTGCGAAGTTTTTGAACCGCTTTATTTTCGACGACGATGTTTTGTACCACGATGTTTTAGAACTGCGATGTTTTCTCTTTGCGATGTTTTCTCCCACGATGTTTTGCAGCACGACGTTTTCGCCTTGCGTTGTTTTTTCCGCGACGTTTACATCTGCGATGTTTTTGCTGCGATGTTTTCGGCTGTAACCTATTCATTTTACAAAAGATTAGTAAATTATTAGGTGTTTATTGCCCTTCAGTCGGGAAAGCGAGAGCAACAACATTTTAATTGCAGACAGGAGTTCATATCTGGTGAGGTAAATATGTAGTTGACTGGTTAGGTTCATTAAGGTAAAAAAAAATCAAAAGCCATAGCTTCTTAACTTTCATTCTTACCAGATATATTAAGATGGATGTTGATCTATAATGTTTTCTCATTATTGGGATAAGATCTGATAATACATGAGAAAATAGAGTCATGTGTTCAAAATATTCCATAATTTTAATAAATTAGTTTTATATGCTTTGGTAATTTGCATACAGTCTTTGAAATACAAACATTTATTGGTACCTCGAGAACAACGACATACTGCTTCATTTTACAATGCAGAAAATTTATTAGTTTTTCCTCCGAAATCTTTATTTGATATTCCCTTCCAAATGCTGTAAAATTATAATATTTTTTGTATGCGCTGCAAAATCATTTTTGATAAAACTATATGTACATAACATCCATTTGGGCAAAGCAGTTTAAGAGTCGGTAATCAAGTAAGATGAAAATTGTTTTAGTATTAACAGTTTTTTTCTGAGTATGTAAAATAACGTAAGACGTATATTAATTTTACAGCGACATCTGAATATTTTGCTGAAGAGGATTAATCTGCTGGAGTATCATTAGTCTTGTACACCTGATTTAAACTATTCAACGATACAATATTATATACTTAAATCCCTGAAATTCTGTATCTCAGTATCTAAATTATAGGTTGCATAGCACTGATGTTATAGGTATTGTATAACATTATACATTCTGTAACGTATACTTGAGTAAGTGACTTCGAAACTGTGACTTCGTTTAAGAGGAAAGCCGTGTTCTGAGGCAAAAACTACGGTAAGTAGTCACTTTGTGATAACGCTTAATTTAGCATCGCTTTGACTTATTCCATTGGCAAGTAATAACTTAGCTTGAAAAATGAAGAAAAAATGAGATTCCCGCATGACTATATCTACATTCTAGGTTGGTTGGTTAACTGATTAAAGCAAAACAATTCAAGGGCTATCTACCTGCGGAGGGAGATGCTTTCGTAGAGAACTTTGTAAGGGAAATCAACTCGTATCCACATTATAGATTGGAAAAAACACGAAAACTTCCATGCAGCCAACCCGTTCGCTGTGAATGCTAGTCAAACTACTAGTTTTCAGCGACTTTAGCTGCTGTTGCACCAACTACATGCTAGGAAAAGAGAACTGAATAAAAGGAAATCTCATTCTATTGGATAGATGCTCTTTGTTAGCTAAAAAAACTTTCACCTACGCAATAAACCCAAACTATACAATTTCTATCCAAACTATATAACCTCCAACAGCACTCGTACCTATCAACAGCTTATATAACTGTAATTTTCAAATATTCATAGGCTTTTTGTTTCATAGGCTTATAAGCGTCATGGAATCACAGATTATGAAGTATTGGATACAGATTGTTGAAGTGTACAGCTATTGTCAAATAGGATTTAAGGGCAGAAAACATTTGAAATCGTGTATTTTAAATGTTATATTTAGCAAGCTGTTGCCACAGTGATTGGAGTGCATTGTACGTTTCCTCGCATTGCTCAGAAAATGTATTATTAGATGTATTGAGAAAGGTTTTTGAGATATTTTATAGTTACTAATTCAGAAGTCAAACAACAAAAATCAGCGTAAATTTGCAAAATTTTCACAGGACTAGTTTCGATGGTTTTACCGAACCATCATCTTCAGCTGCAAAACCGCAAATGAACAAGATAGGAAATAATGTTTAGATAAGATAAGAAAGCCTGGACAAGAATAAGCAAGTGGCGCCATCTGCTGGCGAAACCAGAACTAAAACATAATTTCTCTAAAAGCCGAAGGCAAATTTGGATTGGAATTAGGATCGTTAACTAGAACAGAAAGATTTTATGAATGTGAAATGCCTCTAGAAAATCCAGTTCTCCAATGGAAGATGTTTTTGAATAATTTTGGCAGCAGAAAAATTGAAAGTGTGATTTTCGGACCAACAATGTTGAGCAACAGAAGACTTCTGTGTTTCCTTTTTTCTAAACATGCCTCATGTTCTTTGACGCGAAATTTTAAGGCTCTCTTAGTTTGGCCAATGTAAATTAAACCGCACTGGCAAGGAATCCTAATTTACATTGGCCAACTAAGAGAGCCTTAAAATTTCGCGTCAAAGAACATGAGGCATATGTTAGAAAAAGGAAACAGAGAAGTCTTCTGTTGCTCAACATTGTTGGTCCGAAAATCACACTTTCAATTTTTCTGCTGCCAAAATTATTCAAAAAACATCTTCCATTGGAGAACTGGATTTCTAGAGGCATTTCACATTCAAAAAAATATATTTCTCTTCTAGTTAACGACCCTAATTCCAATCCATCTTCACCTTCAGATTTTAGAAGAAATTATGTTTTAGTTCTGGTTTCATCAACAGATGGCGCCAGTATGCTTATCTCCTTGTCCAGGCTTTTTTATCTTATCTTATCTAATCATTATATCCTATCTCGTTCATTTGCGGTTTTGCAGCTGAAGGCTGATAGTTCGGTAAAACCATCGAAACTAGTCCTGTGAAAATTTTGCAAATTTACGCTGATTTTTGTTGTTTGACTTCTGAATTAGTATTTATTCGGCGTGTTATTGTGTCTTAATTATATTTTATAGTTATTAACTTGTTAGTGTTTCAATATTATGTTCAGCTTTTAGTTGTAAACTTTAATTTTAGCTGGTATATTTTTTATATTTTAGAACTCTTCTTTGGATAGCAGTACTGTTGTTGCCCATACAAGGATCAACATGGGTTCTAGCAATATTATCTGTAAATGAAACACATGCTATTCTACAATATGCATTTTCTTTTTTTTGCCTTTTGGAAGGAATATACATTTTTGTTGGATACTGTGTTGTTAATAAAAAGGTAAATTAAAATTTTTAATCAGAGTAACTCAGTAATTCCATGTAATATTTGAATAAGCACAAAGAATATTTTTTTGTTCATTGACAGGTTCATCAGCAAGTATTTTGTATGCTATCACAGTTTTGTAAACGTGGCAAATATCCTAGTGTGAATGATGTTAAATTAAATACAGTAAGTATACATGTTATTACACATATTAGTAGCCTGTTGTTACTATATAATACTTTACTTTTTAATTGTAATTAAAAAATAAATATTTTTCACGCAGTTTATTATATATTTAAAAAATACCGTTTGCAAGGTAATAGTAATATTCTTGCTTCCTTGCTTTGCTTTTTGTAAAACATTAATTATCGTTATTTGTGAAAGGCGAAAATGCCTTTAAAATGCCTGCATTAAATGACAATTAATCTCCAGTCGTAATTTCAGTCAACCTATTGTCGTCTCACAGTGTAGGCACTGAATAAAGCATGTACAGTTAAGAAAATTCTATGAAAAAAGTACCGAGTTTTATAAACTTAAATTACAGTATTTATTTCTGAGATGGGATGAATTTTTAATATTCGGACATACAACATATATTGTGATTTTAGTTAATAAACTGAGAGATTATGTGTGCAAATTTTGATTGTTGTGCTCCTATATATATTTACAGGTTCACCAGCGGCCGAGCGGTGAAATCGCTGAACACTGGTAGTTCGGTCCGAGGTTCGAATCCCGCGAACGAGCTGGCTGAATGGGCGTTTTCGTGGTTTTTCCCATGTGTAACGTTAATACGAGCCAGTTTCCCTTAGAAAGTCCTCCACGAAGGCATCTCTCCCCTTAGGCAGATAGCCTTTGTGCTTTGCCGTATTCTCAATACACCACACCACACCTATATATTTACAATACAGAAAAATGACATTACTTCGCCTAGTAGATTAAGGTTGTTGTTATATACTTTAAAATGACTAAATCCACCTCTCAATTGTGATGGATTTTATATTTTGTAAAAAATGCATAATTTTAAAAAATCCTAAAAAACCCTGTTCTTCGCATGTAAACTGAAGAGGGAAAAGTTCATATTTTTATACCTTCATCTATGGCTGCTATAATTAAGAAAACGAGTAACAAACATACTGCCGTTTGCAAACGAATGCTTCAGTTTTAATCAAAAAACTCTCTCTTACGCTAATATAAACCTGAATTGAGTAGCGTGAATGAAATTCTAGGTGTATTTGCATTATAAAGTTTAGTTAAATTACATGTCCTTGACTAACTAGAACTTAAGGGAAGTGTTTAGTGACTATTTGCTAGTCTTGTTACAACTATAAAATATAAGTTCAAAGAAGGGTTAAAATACCCTTTTATTTACTCAGAGAAATACTAACAGACGGCTTCTGTCGGACTTACAAGAAAGCCTCCACTTGGACTTTAACTTAAGATAGAAAATAAGAAACTGAACTAATCTAACTAGCTAAACTTTAGGCGAAGCTGTACAAAGATAAGTAACCGAGTTGGCCCGTAATTAATCTTCACAGGGGAATACTAACACGCACGTAAGACTACGCGCTCTACTGAGAACTTCGGAGCTCTTCTACGGAAGTGAGTGAACTTCCCATTAAATACTGGTTCTGCTACATAAAATGCGATTCTAAAATCTCATTCTTGCAGAGAGTTGTAGGTGGAAAACAAGAATTTAAAGGAAAGGGTTTTAAAATTAAAAATAACTGTTAGAAAATTAAAACAATCCTTACAGCACATATGTAAATTTGTAAAACAAGTAAATTACTCTTTGCTGAAAGAAATTACTTTCGTTTCATAAATTTACCACATTAATTAAAGTTATTACGAACATTATTTTATTTAAATGAAACAAGTAATAAAATTAAAATTACTTTTTTGTTTGAAGTTCTTACAATATCATGTTCCAACAATATAGTATTTTGGAACTTATATCTGGGGAAGGGGATGTATAAAAATGCTGTAGTTTCAGTTGACGTAATGCCTTCATGTTGAAAATCATAATATTAATTTTCAACAAGTTCGATAATAGCTTTTTTTACTTCAAGGGGTGTTGCACGGTGATGAAGCCATTTTTTTAAAGCCATATGGGCATTTATATTGACTCACAAGTTCACAAAAAAGTGACTCACAAGCAAATGGGAAGTCAAAATAAGTTTTTAACAGGTTTTAGCAGTAAATGATGGGCAAAATTTCGATTAAATTATATGGAGATAAATAATTAATTGTTTTTAGATTTTTAAGTGGAATGTTGCCCCGAAATGAAAGAGATACTTGTGTGAAACATGCGTGTTACGCAATCTTCCTGTCGTTTACCAGATGCTTTATATTTCGACTAAAACTAAAAAAAATTGCATTGTTTAACTAAAATTTGACAGCGCGGTTTACTTTCCTAAACGCAATTTGGGTCTGATTTAGTATGGGGTATGAAAACTATTAATGATGCTGAAAAAAATCTGAGGAATTACATCAAACTGTACAATCGATTAGAGGAATTTACATTGTTTCATCATTTCCTATTACGTTGTTTCTAATTATTAAAAATCGGGCAAGTTTCATGGCAAATGTTAAATAGTATATTAGTCACCTTTCTAGTTGACTTTGTGTCAAAGATTCCACACCGAATGTGTGAATTAGTTGCAAGTATAATGTAAGTACCATCTTCTCCGCATATAAATGTTTCTGAATCAACAGTGCATCACATTTTGAAAGACAAGAGATGCCTTTGCAATCAAATGTAAGAAATGGTCCCTTAGTTGAAGAAACATCATACAAACTTCACTGGGTATAATATTATATGGCAGGAGTTAGTGGGTATAATAGTTCTAGAAGTATATTTAAATTTCTCTGGGTTAAATCTCCTTTTGTGGTGATAAAGGTGCAACTAATTGCCTATAGAATGATATTGAATGTGAGCAATACAGCTATAATTTTTTGCAATCTGTACTATCCCCAGAAAAGTAATCTTAAAATATGTCAATATGGTCCTAATTTTATTTGGACTAGGGATAGAAAAACCATTATTTCATTAAAATTTTCCATTGAACAAATTAAATGCAAATTTCATAAGTGCAGTTATTAATGTTTTAATAATTTCTGTTTTATATAGATTTAATGGATCAGATGTATTATTGGAGGGGCTAAGACAACAAGAATCAGGGTAATATTCCTAAATTTGCAGGACTAGTTTTAAAGGTTTAAACCTAAAACCATCTTCTTCAGCTCCAGAAATGCAAATGATGAAATGCAAAAGCCTGTGCACAAGTGATAGCAATGAGAGGAACAATACCAAGTTACTAGCGCCATGTATTGATAAAAAATGAAAACAGCTACGAAATAATTTCCATAAAAGCTTAGGGTAAAAACGGATTGGAATTGGGATCGTTAACTAGAATGAAACATTCTTTGTGAATGTGAAACGCCTCTAGAAAATCTAGTTCGCCAACGGAAGATGTTTTTTGAATAATTTTGGCTGTAGGAAAATGGAAAGTATGATTTTATATAACAATGTTGGGCAACAGAGAATTTATGTGTTGATTTTTCCTAACATATGCCTCATGCTGCTTAGCGCGAAATTTAATGCTGTCTTAGTTTAGCCAATGTAAATTAAACCATATTGGCAAAAAATCCTGTATATATCCCAAGAGTTCATATCCGCAATAGTGTCAAGTATAGACCCGTGAATTTTATTAATAGAAGGGGAAAAAACGACCTGAAGGTCGAACTTTTGTAAAATGCGTGAAATTTTATAGTGTAATTACTATTTGTCATCAATAGATGGAGCTATTAGCTTAACTTCCTTTCTTTCATGTCTTTCTTTCATTGTTATCGCCAGAGTACAGAACTCTTTAGTAGTTTGCCTTTCCTGCAGCTGAAGAATTGAATTCTGTTTTAAACCTTTCAAACTAGTGCTGCAAATTTATGAATATTACGCTAATTCTTGTTGCCCTAGCACTTCTAATAATCGTCCTTCAGCGAGTTATTTTAACTTAGGGCTGAGATTTGCTTGAAATGTTTTACACAAAATATCAAACTCTCGCTCTGTTAATGTTATCTTATAAGCGCATTTCTTATTTTGTATTCAGTTTATGTTTTCTTTTTCTTTCTTTCCTTTTTTTTGGGGCCTTATAGGTTAAAAATGATTGTTCTTTCAAATAAATAGTAATTTAGAGAATTAGAAACTTTAGTTTTATTAATAATTTAAAAATATTTACGTGAATCTGGGATGTAAAATCAAGGATCTCACTAGTATTCAGTTTTTGATACCCATGTTGTTTATATATCAATTAATTGTTCTGTCTCATTTTTTGAGATGTTATTTTAATTATTGTAATTCTGAAATGTATTTAATCCAGTCACAAGCTTCAGTTTCCTCTGAGAATATCCTCTAACAACTTTTTTCCTCAAATAAATATTGTAGTCTAATATCAACCAACTTTAAACCGTTCAATTTTTCGAAACATTGTCTACTCATTTTTAATGTATTATAAACAAATATATAATTTTAAAAGTAATGTATTTTACATTAATTTTAATAATACTGTTGCGTGCGTACGGGTTCGTAAGAGATTGAATTCCCAAGTCGGATAAAAAGTTAAAAAAATCTATTCATATCACAAGAAATATGACGAAACGCTGGCATTTTTCCTCAGAGTTATTCGTATAATATCACGCAATATAATCAGTAGCTATACTTTAAACTACTCAAACGTTAAGTAAAACTCAATCCATAGCGCAGAGAAAGCGAATCCGATCAACAATAACAGCAGCTAACTAAACAACTGAGCTGAAATGTTCTATCTGTGGCTTTTTATAGCTTTTTAAATCGGCCGCGCGAGATAGTTCTGGCAATTTCTGGAAAGTCAAAAAAGTAGAATTATGGTTACAGCTAACATAGTAGTCAATTACATTTATTTAAATTAAATGTAAATTACCGAAATAAATTTTATTCAATGTTAAATGCACGTGCTTTTGTATTTTTACTTTTCCGGCGTAGCTTTCTCCTAAAATTTGTCACGCTCTGCACTGCACGGGAAAATAGAACAATTTTAATTATAATTCTGCTAAAAATATCTAACTTAATAAAAAATTCGTAACAATACATATTTTAAATCTGGTACGCATTAACGTTTCTTAATCTGGCACAGATGTCTGCTAAATAGTTTCAAATTTTGATTTTGATCCGCGAATTTCTAATGGTCAACACAACAACTCCAGCAGTCATCCTTGGGCTTTGGACTAAATTACCAGCAAAGCCGAATTTCATTTTGTTTTCGAAAATTTCGGTTCACACACACAGATATATACGCATACAAAAACAAACAAACAAACAAACAAAAATTCATTTTCATTGGTGTCCAAGCTAAAATGTCGTAAATGATAAAACATCAAAATCTTGATTTCTCTTGGTGAATTCCGTTTCATACCCGAATCTCTTTTTAATTGGGGCGGAGGAATGTGAGGAATTAAAAGTCGTACGATGTTCTTGTGTAACAACCAACATATCCGGCTATCGATTGGAAACTCTCACGTTGAATTCTTGGCAAAGGCACGGTTGATTTTTCAAAATTCTTGATCACAAAAACCTAATGATTTTACATACTTTATTCGAAACTGTAAATGCTATTTAGTGCAAATATACGAATGCATTCATAAGTGATTCTGCCCTTCTGGAGCAGGTTTGAATTCTTCACGGTTAAGAGAAAAACTTTTATTTCGTAATTTACAATGTTTTTTTTAAACACAGGACAAAAAAAAAAAAAAAAAAAAAAAAAAAAAAAAAAAAAAAAAAAAACGCAGACTTTTTCTTAACCGTATCATAATTTATCTTATCTACTTGTCAACATATTATTCCTCAATAAAATTAGGAAATGCGCATTATATAAATCGTATTACAAGTAAATATATATTGAGGTTACTACTGTTATAAATACTAATTTTAGACGTTTGTTTAATAACAGGCGTTAAATGATTTATAATCCCTGCAAAAATGCCAGTGAGTAAACAGATGCTCTTTTTTTTATAAGTAATCATAAATTGATGGTAAATAAATTGATAGTAAATGTTTTGAAATTAGCAATCTAAGTTTTATCAAAATTGTGTAGCTATTTTTTCGGAACGTTCAGTTATGTACAATCATAACTGGTAGTAAATGAATTTCAAATCAGCAATTCAAGTTTTATCAAAAGTGCATTACTTAACTATTTTATTGGAACATTAAATCATGTAGCTTTCGGCCAGTTAAGCAGATCCTATAGCTTGGTGAACAACATGAAGTTTGAATGCTGTCAAATTGAATAGGCTGTTGCAGATAGCAGAGTATCACAAAGTGTCTAGCAGATTAAAATTTCAATATCATAACAAAAGAGCAGACGAAAATTTCATAGTCAAAGAGGGATCGCTATCTTTTGCAAAGGCTGGTGGAAACTGTTGATAGAATGCCACAGAACTTCAAAGAACGTTGGGGGAATAGCGGAACTTTGAATTGACTTAAACAATTTACCGTCATCTTTATGAAATTACAGCAGATGCGATAATTTATGAAATTAGATATGAAAATGCCCAGCGATAATTGCTATGCTTAATATTAGAAAGTGAACAAGGCACAGGTTTAAGACAGAAGGTTATAGAATATAGTTGCCAGGATATTGTGCTGTTCACAAATGATTTAAAGTTCAGCATAGAACTAGATGATCAACGACTTCTTATATAACGCAAGAAAGGAAAACACAAAATTCTTCTTTTATTTGTATAAGCACTGTTTAGAAATGTTTCACTGATGCTAGTAAAATATTGAAGCAAATCCAGTGACCTTTTGTCGATTTTATGTTTCATTAGCTGAAAAGGTTTTCTTTGTTATGGAATGGGAAATATGCACACAAGCAGAGTACAACTGAATGCGAATATGCTGTAAGATGCGGCTGTAAAGCGCATGAACTAGAACATTTCTTTATTGGTTTTAAATTGAATTGGCGTGGAAGAAAGAAAAACCATCTGTTCACTGGTTTTAAATTGGATTGACACGACAGAAAGATATGTGCTGTACAATAATACTCTCCACATAGTCTTATGGAATAAGGAACCGCTCTTCGAGAGAGGAATAAATAAGGATATCACAAAAATGAATAATCGTTTCTTACTTCTGCAACATAGAAATGTTATGACTGTATTCTACGCTCTCTGCAAACTGTATTCATTGCAATTAATGTGCTGCATATACTATTAGAAATAGGCCAGGATTCAAAACTACTATTATGAAAAAAACTTATATGTAGGTAATGTATCTATGTAAACTTATATGTAGTAGGAAGATTATGCATTCTTGCAGAGAAATGTTTTGCAATTATGTTCCATTATATTCTCAGCGACATAAACTGTTGATTCGCCGCCTATAAAGCTGCAGTTTTATATAAACTTAAATGAAATGTGAACTTATTAATAGAGGTTTTCTCTTCTTGCATTTTATATTACAGTTTTCTGATTTCCTTAAGAAAATTTCGTCAGCTTCAAGCTGCTTTTGTTAAACATTTGTTATCTTCTAAATATGGTGTATAAAAACGTTAGATCTCCAGCAGCTTAGTTTAAATTTTTCATCTCAGTCTTTAGCTAATTAATTAATTATGTTCTACACTCTAATATGCTTTGCACATTATACGAAACTCAGTGCTCTAAGTTTTCCAGCTATGCTACCTGTACTGATTTAATAATGGTGAAATTAAATATTATTTTATCATTGTTGTTCGGTTGTAAGCAGACTACTAAATCATTTTTATTTACAGAATTCATCAGCTTATCATCCTCCATCTGAGACGTACCGAAGAAATATTGGAATTTCAACTTCGTCTGCCACAAGTAGGTCAACAGCAAAAACATCAACTAGTCAGTGTATACCAGATGTTGAAACAAAAACCTCTGAATTTCCATGCTCCTCTTCAAATCTTGACGAATCAACAGCAGATGTAAACATTTTCTATAAACAAGGGAAATATTATGGCCCTCTATTGGAAAATGACGATTTCCAGCGTAAGTATTCTGTGTGAGTCGTACAAAACTTTCCAGTTTAACATTCTGACTCAGACGCCACGAAGTTTTAAATAGTTAATGCGGCGTTGTTGCACATTCTCTCTTCGCAGTGTTGTCCATACTGTTTCCAAATTTAAAGTCTTGTTACTAAAAACTTGATTTGCTAGAGGATTTAAAATGCTTGCGAACATAAACGCATGAAGCCATTATTACATAGCACCAAACGAGCCAGTATATTAAGGAAGTGACTGACAATTATAGAATTTTGTTTTGATATTAAGACTATCTTAGGTTTTCCCGTTGGTTCCATTTATTGATACAACCAGCTCAAATATTGTTTAATTTGTACGAAACAGAATTCAGTGATCCTGTTATCATGAAAAAGTAATATTTTATGCAATTGTGTAAAAGATAGGACCATTCAATATTTCTTGAAATAGTAGCCCATTAAATATTTATTAAATGTTTCCTGAATATTTAGTCACAAACCTAAGTTTACAGTTAAATGAGTGTATCAGTTTATCAAATTAGATGTAGATTATGATATATAATTGTTTTCTGAAAAATATCACGTGATTAAAACTGTTGTAGTTTTAAGGTTTAGGTTTTTTTTAATTCGTTTCGTAAAATGGAGCCGTCAACCTACAACCAATCATTTAAGAGTAATTTTTTTACCCTGTTATGTTTCTAAAACACCTATACAGGCATAAAATACTAACAAAAGAAGTAAAAGTTAGCTAAAAGTTTAAAAATTTTTTTTCTCAATATAAAATCACAACAAAACATTTCCTGGATACTATAATTATATTAAAACAAAATCAAAAGACGATTGTGTATACTTAACATGTTATATATTAAGATATGAGGTCACAGGGGACATACTTAAAAAATTAGTTAAAATTGAAATCTGGGCTACAACTTCAATTGGAGAAAATTCTTCACATTTCTAGGAATAAGGAGGTGGCTATGGATACAGTGCTTTCCATACATGAAAAAGACTCGTTCTCACAATTATGAATACATTAGCTAAGCATCAACAACTTCATCTACTTTGAGCAATAAATTTTGTCCGGTTACGAAGCCCAATAGTGGCCTAGTGGTAAAATCGCTTAACACTGGTATTTCTCCCCTGGCTCAAATCTTGGTGAATAGTCTGACTGAAATCAAATTTTCGAGGCTTTCCGGATGTGTAACGTGAATACGAGCCATTGTTAGAAGTCAATACATGACATAGGTTTTCCCTTAGTTGAATAACCAGTTATTTTAAATTTTGGTATCTTTTCTGAATTTCTTATTCCTCTTGCATTTTCTTGCCAGGATGCAAATTAAGTCAAGTGAAGAGAATATTCAAACAGGCGAAAAGAGAAAGTTAGACAAAGCGTGATTTTGCTGGTAAGCGCACGTTGATATTCTGTCTTCTAGCTGTTAATTTTAGTTGTGGCTACGCACTCTGGCCGTTTATTAAGTCTATCTCCGGTGTAGGTTGTTGAGTCAGCTAGTTAGATTTAAGTAAATTGTGTAGTCTAGCAATACTCTTTACCTTTTTCGAATTTATTGCTAAATTTACCATAAGTTCTCACCGCAAGTAGTCGGTATTTTGTGAGCACAAAGTACATGCATTTTTATTAAAGTATTTGAGAATAAAAGCTATTTACAGCCTTTCCCTGTGTTGTTACTCTTCACGTCTGTCTGAGATTTACTACCTACTAAGATCAAGCAACTTGTATAATAGCAAAAAAGACACGATGTTACAACACAAGCTTATGTGCCTAAAGCTCAAGTGGAAATGAGTATGCTGGCTTGAAATTTGGAATGTTATATTCACCAAGGTTTTCAGTTACATGGTCCATCTCCGTATCTGCTTCGGGGAAACGATGCCTTCTTAGAGGGTAACTTAAGGGGGCATAAACACCCATATGAATTACACTTTAAGAAAATTGCAAAACTCTCCCCCATTCAACCCTTTCAGCAACTAGGAGCCAAATTTGTGATGAACTATCAATGCTCATTGAGTTTAATCACAGTCTTAGTTTTCTGTAAACGTTTAGTTATCTGATAAAAGTATTAAATTGCGCACATAATAGCAGACAATATTTATTATAAAATGCCTTCAGACTAAATAAATTATTTTAGAAATTCTTATATATTTACATTTTATGTATGTATTGATTAATCCAATTTAACAAATATTTCAATTCTGTTTCTGTGATTAGTGCATATATTTGTCTGCAATGTAGCCATTTGTTAACTTTTGTACATTTTCCTCTTATACCATGTATTTGGTTTCCTTTTTAGAATGTGCTGCGTCTTCTCCTGGTCCAAAAATGGGTATTAATGTCTTTTCGTACCCTCGACTGCCAGGATCAAGATCATCTTTGAGCAAGACATCTTTATCTTTAAAGATGGGTCTAAATTCCCAAGATCAAAGTCTAAGCTGGGGAAGCATTGACAGCCAAAAATCATCTCCATTATCAGCACCTGTATGTTCTAATCGCCTTGAATATCCACCTCCAAAAATGGGAATTAGCAGAGTAGACAAGTCACTGCTTCTAACAGATAGTAAAAGTCTTGGATTCAATTCTCATTTAGCTATACCCAGCATGAAATCGGATTTAAAAACAGGAATATGTTCTTACTGTAGGTCTCAAAATTCTTCTAAAGATGTCCATACTGATAGTAATATTTCATCTCAGCAAGATTTGAGCCTTACATCTCCACACAAAAGCAGCCATAGTGAAAACACGAGGTGTAAAAGTGCCTCAAAAGAGCGCCTTTCAGGTTCAAAAGGGAGTGACGAATTTGTGTACAGTACTCAAGAAAAGTGTAAAAAATTAAAGATGCAACATTGTGATGATGTTGACAAAGACATAAAACTGAGAAATGAAACAAATTGTATTCCAAACAATATTTCATCTAGTTATATGTGTAAAGAAAATAGCTCAAATCCCACACGAGAAAATGCAAGTGTACCTAATTCTTCTAAAAACACAATAACTCATAGTAAGGAGAATATCAATTCTCAGTCTGTGCCAAATACTGTGTCATTTTTCGATCCATCTTCACCTAAGCTGATTGGTAAGATAAATAATATTTTACATTTCTCTATACGAGTGAATTGTTACATATTCTTATTAATAACTTTATGATTACTAACGACTTAAAATCTCCGCCCCCCCTTTCTTTTTCTCTAAGATGATACTCCAAGTGAAGGGGAACTGCCTATGACAAACTTCAATTCGGAAGACAAAAGCACCCTCTCTGATGACAATAAGTTTTCCGATGATCTATCTCATGTATATATTAATGTTACTGGTATACCGCCGTTAGCAACTGCTGAACTTAGTGATTCTGAGTAAGTGATCATGTTTACTATTACGTTATATAATTAAATGTTAAAATCATTTTATAGAATTTTTCAGTGCTAGGAGTTTACATCTGTGATAAAATATTCGTAAATGAATGTGAAGATAAAAAACAACTTTCATTTTATTATTTCCCACGAAATGCATTATGGTTGTGAATTTGTCCTCAAGAATGCTCAAAGTTCCTCCCCCCTCAACAGTCAGTCACTTCTTGAGGCCTCATCAGTAGACGAATTGTTAAGACTGGTGAATACTGGTAGTTTGATCTGGTTTCGGTTTGAACCCAAGCGAAGAGGCTGGCTACATGTTTAGCTTTAGTGGTTTTCTCCACATGTAACGTGAATACGAGCCACTGCACGGAGGCAGATAGCCCTCGGGGCTTTGCTATATTGAAATAAACTAACACTGAAGCATTTTTCAGGAATGACTCAACCCATCGGTCATCACAGACAGCGTTCGCCAGGGTGCACCATAAGAGGTAACCAGATAATGCATCTTCAAGAAGGGGAAGAACACACGCAAACAACCAAACCTCACGTGGGATTTGAACTCGTACCTTGGAGCTTGGACTAGTCGTCAGCCCCCATTTACTCTACCATCAAACGCGATACAATGCCTGAAGTAGAAATTGCGAATTAATTTCTTCAAACAGGAATAGCTCAGAAATTAAGTATCCTCCCCCCAAAAAAAATAAATGAATGAATACAAGAAATAAAATAAAGAAAGGGGAAAAGTATTATTATTTCTATGCTTCATTGTGAGCATTTATAAATCTGAAGTCAAAGGGAAAAAATGGAGCTCAGCTTCTCTAACAATTCTCCACTAGTTATACGCATGTGGAATTGAATTAAAAGTTTGCCTGCTGGTGTTCTCAACAGAATTCATTGGATTGGCATATGCCATAGTACATGCCGGACAAGGATACCTTCATGAAAGAAGTTTTGAAAGAAACATACTGTTAACTTTATAATACAGGAAGATTTGGATTTATTCGATTAGGACAAAGCATACTAAGGCTATCTGTCTAAGGGAAGGGATGTCTTCGTGAAGGGCTTCTGAGGAAAACCAGCTCAAATTGACATTACACAGGAAGAAAACCATGAAAACTCCATGCAGCCAGCCTTTTGCGGGATTTTGAACCACTGTCTAATCACAAGTGTTCAACAACTTTACAGTTCGGTTATTAGTGGGCCTTGGAAAGGAAGAAAGCCACAAAAATACATGCAGTAAACTCTCACTTCAACAGCACAAAATCGAACTATTAATTTTTTGCAGCTTAAAACCATCCAGCTACTGGTTAGCTACAAAAAGACTTAAATTCAACCTTTTCCAGATTTAATATGATAATTCATAATTTTCAAATTTTTATTTGAGTGGAACTGTTGCTTAAAGAAACGTTTTTACAGCAAATTAGTATATTATGACTTGAAACAAGAGAAATTAAAAATAATAAAATTAAAATTCAGAATAATGGTAACTGGTAATTATGTAGTGATATTTAGTGATCAAATTACTACTACAAATTACTAGTAAATTTACGACTTTGTACTACAAATGAATTAATTAGTCAATGAATAAGAGTGAGCTATTTATTGATAGAATGTCAAAAAACTGCATATAATGTTTTCTGCTATAATAGTTAGATATTTCTTCTGACGATGTGGCATTGGAATATAAAGTAAAATAATATTAGCAAAATTTTCATTGTAAACGAGTTTGTCTGGCAAATAAATAATTACTAAAATTCTCTATGATAAAGAAGAAATATAAAGATTTAATTTGACTCAAAACATTACGAAACATGCTTTTTAAGTACCGTTACAAGGGAAAAATAACTCAGATTCTTCATGCTGAGCTTGAAATAGCAACCAGGATGAAATTACCAGTATTCCGCTGTTTTAGCTTATTATGCCTATTTCAGTTTGAAGCTGAGTTTTGAATTTTCCCAGAGACTTATCTCTGTTCTTATCGCCTTGATACGGAGCTGAGAGTCTGAGAGTCTATCATCACTGAGTTGCTGTCGAGATATACTGTTCAGTATATACTGATGTGAGTTACGAACTCATGAAGGTCTCTTTAAATAATCATTCCAAACGATCAAGGAGAAATTACCATTTTCTTTAATTAGTAAATTCATACAGCAAAATAAATAGATGGAAACAAATAAAGGAGAAGGGAGACGTTAGATAAATCCTCCTTTAGCGCCAGATATATATCATAAAGTTCCAGTATCACTCGCAAAAGTAACCTAATCCGTAATTCAAATAAATTTTCTTTGCTTCGAAGTCTCCCACACTTGATTAACAACAAAATATCACGGCATTCAGAAACGTGTTAATGTGGCGTTGCAAGAGCTTCCGGAAACTTCGGCAAAAATCGCTGCGAGAGCTTTGAAAATGCGTTTCAAATTGCTTTCCAAAATTACCAAAGTCGGGAGAAAGCGCCAAAAGTAGCCAATTTGGAGCAAACAAATCTCGCTAGAGTCCACCAGGAGCAGGTTGGTACATTTCATTCTTCTGGTTGGGCTGTTTTAATAATTTAAGCTTTGCGTGTTTCGTAATTTTAAGATACAATTAATTTTATACAAGAAATTAATACTTACATACATACAAAGCTACAAATTCAGTTACACAAAAAATAAATCCTCAAGCTATTTAAAACTGCTATTACCCTAAATGCAAAAATTGGAAAAACTAAACGGAAAAATAAATAAAACAATACATAATATTGCAACAGTACACAAAAACAGAACTGCAGTCAAAAGATTTAAATACCTGTAGAAATTTACAATTATATATATATATATATATGTATATATATATACATAATATATAATCAAAAATGAAACATATATAATACAGCAGTCAAAAGGTTTTAACTATTTTAGAAATATACAAATGCAATAGTTGTAGAATTAACAATAGTTTAAAAGTTGTTTAAGTGTGGCTTAACCTAACTTAGCAGCCATATTTGTTTGAAACGTAGCAGAATAGTAAATAAAGTGAGTTTCTGCACCTTCAGTGTCTTTTTACAGTGAGGGATCAAACTGGCCATTAAAATTGCAACACTGTGAAGGAAAGCAGATACAAAAAAGATATTTGTTGCATGTAAACAGTATGGCATGAAAACAAAATGATTAAAATGTTAAGCATTTTGGAGGTTTGCAGGGGTGCGAAATTAGTAGAAACAGCTGCCACCTCTGGGAACTAAAACGGCCCTTACCCGATTAGGCATGGAGTTAAACGGGGCTTGGATGACAGAAATTGGCAACTCATTCCATGCTGCTTCAAGTATATACCACACTTCATCAACCGTATTAGCTGGAGAGGGGTGGCGGGCCAGTCTCTCTGCAACCCGTGTCCAGATGTTTTTAATGGGTGACAGATCTAGAGACCACGCAGGACAGAGCAGCAATCGAATACCCTGTATATAGAGGAAGGTCAGGACACAACGTGCAACATGTGGTCTTGCATTATCTTGTTGGAACATAGCGTTTGGCAGGCCTCGAAGATAGGGCACAACCGCTGGATGTAAAATGTCAGTAATGTACCCATCTGCGTTCAAATTGCCGGCGATCCGAACTAGAGTGCGTGTCGTGTACCCAATGGCTGCCTAAACCATCACACCAGGTGCAGAGCCCCTATGTCGATATCAAATGCAAGCAGGCGACGTGCGGTCTACTCGGACACTCCAGACACGTATACGGGCATCAGAACCGGCACGTAAATCCGAAACTCGTTAAAAAAGACGTCATTGTGCAACTCCTGTACCCAGCTTTGTCATCTGGCTCACCAGGGTCGTCGTCTCTCTTTATGCTGCATTGTCAAGGGAAGCCGAAGTAATGGTCACCCTAGTAATAGTCCAAGCTGCTGCAAACGTCGACGCACCTTACGAGCTGATACGGAGCTTGCTGCAAACATGCCCATTTCCTGACTAATGGTCCGTGATGTAATCGTACGGTTTTTCAGGGCTGATCTCACAATATGTCTGTCCTTTCTGGCGTTAATGATGGGAGGGCATTGAGATCCTGCATGCCGTTCCGTATGACTCTCAGCAATCCATTGATTCCTTATTCGCGTGACAGTAGTTGATGACGACCAGTGTGACCGGCGATATCGGAACAAACAATTTCGATAGGCAACGATCTATCGAAATTCGAAACTTGCTGATAAGCATTTCCTTTTCTTATTCGAGGCATAATAACACGATATTCTGAGTAACTCCAACCTTACAAAGCATTTTCCGAATGAGAAATCCAGTACACAAATTTTCTTTTGTGCAGTGCGTCAGGTGACGTTTCTCCCTCCTGCGCCGTCTAAATGCTCTGAAATACTAATCATTTGCATATCCCAACTTCTTCTTTCTTTCATGTGATTTTGACATTCGTCAGATCATTCCTTCCTGGTGTTGCAATTTTAATGGCCAGCAGTGTATATATATATAATAAAAATACAATACAAAAGAATAAGTTCTAAAACCAATATCCAGTTTTGCGCTGTAAGCTTCAGCAACTGGTGATAATATTCAAACTATAAAAAACCTTTAAATCCAATAGATATTTAAACTAGTGGATGCTAATATCAAACTAAAAAACAAAATTTTCTGCTCAAGAAATAAACCACTGTGAATAAAAGTACAACTCCAGAAATGAGATCAATACTGCAAGAGAAAAGAACCAACAATGCAATTAATGCTTGAAAGACGCCCAACCGGGATAATGGTTAGCGACGCTGTCTACAGTACTGATGGTCCGATGTTCGAATCTCTAAGAAGACATGGATGTTTGTAAATGTATAGTGTCTGTGCGGCAGGGGATACTTTAAATATGCGGCTATCCAGAAGGAGTGATAGTATTTAATTTTCAAGGATGTTTCTTAAATATAGTATGTAAATTTAATGCTTTATGAAAAACTGAGTCGAGTAAGCAAGTTTAATGCGATAAGAAAAAAAAATAGTTAAACTATAACTTTTTAATCGAAGTGTTCAGCCAGAAGTTATAATTTAGTTGTGAAGCTGTAAATTAATTTAAAAGAATTAAATGCAAGAAAACGAAATAAGATACCATTTGTTACAGAATACTGGTTTTATTTAAGCAAGACTCTCTTGAAACTGAACTGAAGTGGACCCATTTTGTTAATAATAGAAACAGATAATTAAGTTGCCCAATTAACATTAAAACAGTTGCAATGATTTTGATAAGAATGTTTAATTCAACTGTGTAAATACATCCAGTCTATCTTGATGTAACGTGTTAGTTGTAAACTATCATAATAAACAAATAGTTTAAAGTTGAAAAAACATTTTTAAGTTGACAATTGGAATTAAGCAAAGCGGTTGTTTAATACATTTATGTGTAATTTTGTTATATTTAATTATTTTAATTAATAATCTAAGTTATTTTGAAAACCCCGACTGTCACTAGATAGATTTTTAATTCTTTTGGTTTGATTAATGATAATGAGATTAAAGAGTCTTGTTTTGGCAAATAATTATATTTTGTTGAGATTGTAAATATTTAGGTCTAAATAATCTGGTTTCGTATCACTAATTTGATTGGCATTTTGGATAGATGTCTTGTTTTTTAATTTCATTCCAATTATTTATGGCAATAATGTCGTTTGTATATCTGAATGTAAATTTAAGAAGGTCTGGTTTTCGGTAGCGTTGATAAAATTAAATTCTTAAACGAAGAGGAAAAGTTACAAATGACAATAGAATATTTTGCACTCACCGGAATACAATTAATTTGTAGACAAATTTTATCTTGATACTTAATTTTCAAGATACACTTTATCACAGTGTGATTTTAAATGCACACTGTGATAAAGTGTGCATTTAAAATCAATATACCATTTCTCGAAATTAATTAAACTTTAATGTTGGAAATAATGTTTTAAAGTTCTATTAAAATACTGTAAATCTCATTGAGCAGCAAGGTGGTGCATAAACTTTCAAAATCTTAGCAGTTAATATTATAGACCTGATGTTTTGTTAATAGTTTTAAAAACTTTTTGTTTATTGCTGATAATCCAATTATTATGCAAAGTAATATTTCTAAGCTCCTGGACTTTTACACACTCTTTTTAAAGTATTTTGGTGATATTAAACCTGTTCCTTTTTTGTAATTATTCACCCCGTTGTCAATAAAGATGAATGTGATTGGATTCTTGGGAAGTTTTGGTATTGCATACAAACTGCAGAAATTATTATAATGATGCTTATGTTTTTGTGATATGCTTAAAACACACTTATTAGTAAATGTAAAGTCTCAGAACTATATGACTCGATCCTAGGGAAGCTGACAAACTATACTAGTGATAATGATTAACATTGCATCTAAAATTGCTTCCAGTAAGATATTGTATGCTTACAGGAAGAAGTTTGAATGACTGATTTTATGCAGCTTATAACCTTTATGGATTCATTACTTGAGCAACGAGGCACAAGAAAATGTTTTGTACTCGTTACAATTACACTTATTTTTACAACATACTGCTTGAAGACATTAAAGCAGTTTGCTGCAAACATAAGTGTAACTTTTCTTAACCCTTCGGTGGTTGCGAGATTGTTTGCTGAGGTGATGTTTTCACCCGGTCTATTCTCCCAAAATATCAGAGCATGATTTTAGACCCTGGTGAACAAAAATTATCTGTTTGGTACCACTTCATGTCTTATCGATTTTAAGTTATCCATGAAGTTTAGCAACTTACTCGCAAAGGTATCAGGGTCAACTTTGGTATTGGGTGGATCAAAAAATTCACCAGGAAGTTTTAATGTTTGTTTCTTATACTATTTGGACAAGTGTTTCCGTCCACTGAGCATTATGATGCACTTTTATAGCAGCCTTCAACGTTCTATGAAACCCTCAGTTTTCCCATTGCATTGAGGATGGTATGATGTAGTGTGAAAAACTTTAGACCCACATATTACAATCAAATTCCTGAACAGCAGTGGTTCAAACTTTGTTCCTTAATCCATAATAATTTTGTATGGGACGTCAAATCTGCATACCAATGCTCATAAAAAAGCTTTGCTTACCACTTCTGCAGCAATGTATGGCAATGCGATGACTCCGATCTACCCAGTAAATCGGGCGATGCAAATTAAACAATATGCGTTCCCATTTTGAAGAAGAGTAATCGGCCAATGAGGTCAATATACAAAACACTGAAATGGGTGTCTGGTTCTTGATATTCGGCAAATTTAGTTTTGGTGTGTTTATTGAGCTCGTTAACGACTATCAAAAGATTAATCATACTCCTTAATCATCAGATTTGTTGGATACTTTCTATTCTCTAAAACAAACCCCACTTTAAAAAACGCCATTTTGAGATATCTTCAAAATTCAGAAAGTTGTAACGATGAGATGAGAGCTTAAGAAATTTTAATTTCATAAAAATCGGAATATCTACAAAATTAATCGTAAAATTTTGTAAGAGCACTATTTATATGCAGGATAAGGGTTCGTAGAGTTCTCTTTAAATAATTTTACAGTCTAATTAATAACAAGACGGGAAATGTTATTGAGACAAATAATATGTCTTACAGCATAGCCATAAATAACCCCAAAAAGAAAACTAAATGAAGCGAAATTCTCTTTAACACGAGAGGAATATCTCAGGTCATCAAAATTGATGTCAGAGCAAAATCTAAAGCAATGATCTAGCAAAGTTTGCTAACAAAACAATCGCGAACTCACAACATTGAATTCAAGCTGCAAGTAACTTCATATAGATGAAAACTATCTATCTACCTATCGCTTTCTCTCTCTCAATATTGCTCAAAAGAGTGAGTGAGCGCTTCTGAAACCTTCCTGGAAAACCGCTCATAGGTCTTTAAAAACGTGCTTTTCGGAAGATTCCAAAATGTCCAGGAAATCCCAGATATCTCCATTATATAAAGAAAAGTTTTAAAGAAGGGCATAAATAAATAAAAAATAAAGATAAGAAAAACAAATTAAAAATTCATATAAAACTAAACTGTAAATAAACTGTAAACAACACAAATATTTATAAAAATTTACAGCAATATGTTAAATTGCATAACACCTTTTGAATTTGTCGGTAAAATGGAAAATTTCGAACTTCTTTCAAAAGTTGTTATATCGAGGAAGTCTGATGAAATAATTTGTTCAGTGACAGATGGCGACATGAGAAGAGCATTAGTGGTATCGTTGCATTGTGCTTACGTACAGCGATGTCATATCTATGCATGGCAGTTTGAGATTTCAAGTACTGGTGTATCTTATTTCTTTATTTAGATCAGCAGTTGCATTTATCAAACACTATCGCTTGGAGCAATGCAAAATTACTTATTAACTGCAGTTGTTTCTTCAGTAGGAAATAATTATAGAGAAATAGACTGTGATATTTCCCCCCGAAATTCCTCAAATAAATATACCTAATATATTTTTCCTTTACTTTTTCAACAAAAGCATTCATTGCTTTTACCGGAACTGTATGGCTTGAATAGAAGATCTAGGAATTGATTAGTGTGAATTGGATGGGATTCTTTAATTCAAAACTATATGTAGAGTCATTGCGTTTTTTGAAGCAGAAGACGTGAAAAATGTGCAAAGTCCTCGCTTGGACTCGAACTCTGGATCTCTCCGATACGCGTCGAGTATGGTTCCAATTACACGACGAAGGCATGCGGAAAGGAAGGAGAAAATACCTTATATATGCAAGGGGTATATATACATATACATATATATATAGTATATATAAAATACCTTATATATGCCTAAACGTCATCTCAGGTTTTGTCCATGAAAGGCGCAAAGTTTGTAATCCCCTTTCTCCTATTCCATATAGCCAGCCTCCTATTCCATTTTCTCTTAGTTTCATCCTCTCGAGAGAATTTCTAGGTAAACAGCTTTAAGTGCTCCCATTCGATAAAGACATTACGTTTTTTTTTTTTTTTTTTTTCATAACCGTCCGGATAAGGTACGGACGGAGTCATAAACATCCATGTCTTATCAAGGATTCGAATTGAAATGCGTGTTCTGCCAACTTCTACTAAGCAGCAGTAGTCCAAAGAAGGTCTTTTATTTGAAATTCTATCTAAGAAACCTAACTTTTTATGCATAAGCAAATAGCAATGATATCACGACTGTAATCTTAATAGCCTTGACGAAATTATAAATTTATTCGTTATTTAACATTGTGTATGCGATTAAAAATTTCGAAATGCAGTAATTAACAATAGTTGACTAGATACAATAGTACAGACATGTAAATATGGGGAAACGTATGCTAATAATTATCAGCAAAGTATAATTGTGTCTGTTTTAATGTATAGGAGTAACAAAGAGTGAATTTACGGCGTTGTACTTTAAAAATGTATCCTTCATGTAACAGTATATACCATTAGATAAAAAATTATGTTTAATTTGATCACAATTTTAAATAACTTGAAATTTTGTTTCAAAACAAAATAAAAAGCAAAACGTGTTTTTTCTGTTTTCGTTGTCAAAACTGATTCATAAATTAACGTTAATTTTTATTCTTATTTTCTGTGCATCTCTGTGGAAAAGTGAAGAGGTAAGTTTATTTGTCTAAAGTGTATTATTTATATAAAAATAATTGGATAATTGTAATAGATTACGATTCATTTGCGTAAATAAAAGATTACTGCAAAAGTTATTTTGATGTAAATATTCGCGAAAACGTAGTTAAGTTTTATTTTGTAATATTGACAACTTTTTATTAGAGTAATATAAGCCAGTTCCTCTATTAACAATATCTGATCATAAAATATTTTTGATTATTTTTATAGAGTGAATGAAGCTTTGGAAACTGAAGTATAATTATGTGGAAATTATCAGGAAGAATGTACGGACAAAATGATTTGCCTGTACTGTATGATGATCATTGTCGGTTTCTAATAGAATATTCAATAATCCAAACAAAGGATTTGTTGCTTATTTTATATTATAAGTTGTAAGAAAGAAAGACTGGTAAATTAATGAAAATTATAGTGTTTATATATCATACTGTGAAATTCTTTATTCTGAACTAATGTTAATGTAACAGTAGGTAACCACATTAAAATAATGTAGCACTAATACGGGAATAAGTGCGATTTAAGAATTAGTACAAATATTATGGAATATTTGAGAAATTAAGGATTTCTATATCTAAAACTTGCACTAAATTTTATATGAATAAAAATTGAGTTATTTTGGGGGGGGGATTTTTTTACGGGTATTTGAAGCTCAGTAGTATGCGTGTATTGACCACAGAAGTTAGATTTATATCTTAATACAAAATATGGCACATTGTAGAAGGCAGAAAAATGTTTCGAGAAAATCACAACTTTTAATTAGAAGTATTTGCGAGCCATCAGTACTTTTTATAATTACTGACATTAATAATAGGATTACAATCTTATAATCACAGGCTTTGGTGTTTATAATTAACATTTTTATGCATAGATAAGGTAAGGCTGCGTAAGACGTACGTAAAAAACAATACGTATAATCGTAGGGTGTATGAAATAAAAAACTAAAAATTATGTGTGGTAACAATACCTTGTGTTGTTTTTGCTGATATTTATTACATTAATATTACCGTCTACTTTCTTGGATAAACTTAAAAAATTTATGAACACGAACTTAATACGACTTACACAGCCAGTATTTTAAGTGGCACTGCTTATCGTTTAAGTCGTACTACATTTAAAATTAGAAAATTTTAATCAAAATTTCTTTTTCTCAATTAATTTATTTATACAATTAATTACAACAATGGTCACAAAGACATTTTTTCCATTTTCTTGTCAACTCCAACATATAAGTCGTGTACCTATCCTTTGCATTTTAGGCATTGAATCATAATCTCTTCCTGATATTCTTCAGAAATATTACAGGGAGACGAAAACGATGTGAAACAATATGGTTGACTATGAGTAACCCATTTTGCTGGCAGAGTTGCAACTGGCGTGATATTACGCCTCATATTTAAAAAGTACGACTTACACAACCTTATCCTATATACGCACATGAATAGAGGCTCCGTGTGTGTGTGTATATACAGGGTGATTATAATTAAAGTTTAAGTTTCAAAACGCTATAAAAAAAGAACCACTTATGAAAATGACGTCAAATTTGAAAGGAATGTTATTGAAGAAGGCGGAAAGCGTATGGCAGAAGAAAAAATTTAGTTTCAAAAGTTAGCAACAGATGGCGCTGCAAGCGGAAGAAGACGTAAATTAAAATGTTAGTTAAATTTCAGTGTTATAAAGCTGCCAGGTACCAGGCTGTTCCTCATTTCGCGTCTCAGACGTTCGCCATGGGTGTTTCACTGCAGGACCGCGCTCTGCTGGTAAAGCTGTATTACAAGAATGATGATTGTGCAAGAGTAGCTCTGCAAAAATTCAGGACACTGAAGGGTATAAAAGAAGGCGTTGGTCCAATGAGTGTCGTAGGTCTAAAGAAAATGATGCAAAAATTCGAAACGACAGGTACGAAACATCCTGCAATGCTATCCGTACAAAATTGGCCATGTGCAGGAGTTGCTTCCTTCTGACCTGACAGCTAGGGAGACGTTGGAAATTTTCCACGGCCATTCATTATCCACTTTCCATATGACCATATGACCATAAGCCCATTTCCATATGACAGGATACGTGAATACCCAGAATTGTCGAATATGGGCAACAGAAAATCCACTGGCAACGCACCCCGTACCACTTCATCCTGAAAAGGTCACGGTATGGTGTGGCTTTACGGCATTAGTCATCCTACAACCATATTTTTTCGAGCAGACGGGTGCTTCCGGTCCTGTTACCGCAATCGTCACTGGTCAGAGGTATGCGTCTCTTTTGCGCAACCACGTGATTCCAGCTCTGCAACAGCGTGGATGTGTGAATGAAATCATTTTTATGCAAGATGGCGCTCCTCCGCACATTGCATATCCCGTGAAGCAGCTGCTGAGGCGCCATTTCGGAAATGCTCGAATTATCAGCCGTCATTTCCCTACAGCCTGGCCGTCCCGATCGCCTGATCTTACTCCGTGTGATTTCTGGCTGTGGGGATATCTGAAGGATGTTGTGTTCCATGCTCCAATTGCAAATTTAGCGGAATTAAAGGCACGCATTTCGCAAAACATTCTGAACATCACACCCCGGAGACACTGCGATCCGTTGTGGAACATGCTGTTTGTCGCTTTCAACTTGTTGCACACAACGGTGGACACCATATTGAACATGTTTTGCGACAGTTCCGAACTTCTTTCATGAATGGTTTCTTATGCGGTATGCCGCCGCAAAACTCTTGAAACCAACCGATTTGTCCCTTCCGATGTGATATGTACAGTCATGCAAATAAAATTATTCAACAATTCTAATTTGTCAATGCGTTTTAATGTGTAACTTCCACCTTAGCCGTTGTTTTACGAAACATTTCTCGTTTCTCGTCGTGATTCTGCCGCTTACAGCGCCATCTGTTGCTAACTTTTGAAACTAAATTTTTTCTTCTGCCATACTCGTTCCGCCTTCTTCAATAACATTCCTTTCAAATTTCACATCATTTTCATCAGTGGTTCTTTTTTTATAGCGTTTTGAAACTTAAACTTTAATTATAATCACCCTGTATGTACAGTGTATGCACAAAAGTCTTTCATCTGTCCTTTATTTTCGAAAACGTTGATCGTATACATATACTTCTAATTACAAAACATTTCTTAAATGACACAGTTAATCATTTTTTTGTATTTTTAAGTAAAAAAAATCAGTTTTGAAAAAAATTAAGAAATTTAACTTTTTATATGGTCCTATGACCTTATACTCATTTTTAGAAATATGTTATACTCGTCATAAGAACACAACAAAAATGTGTGATTCCCGTATGACAAAAATTGACCTAGATATTCAGTTTTAAAGTTGGACATCATGTTAAGGGACTGTGCGCTAACTGACCTGTGAAGTGTTTGCATTTGCACTTGAATAAAATACCAGTTAAGAAAGTGATATTTGATTTTGACGTAACTGAGAAGAATTTCTATGCCCGTCATCATGAAAAATATTGATCGAGATAATTTTTTTCAAACAAGAGATCTTATTCACGAAATCTTACCAAAGTCCTTGTTCTAGAAAATACTGGCCGGTGATGCATATTGTCAGACTGCCAGATTGTAACCTTATTTGCATAAATTAAGAAATACAAATATTTCTAGTTTAAATATTTTTGTATGATGAGGATTCTAAAGTAATAAAATTGCATGATAATACTAATAAAGTATTTATAACGTTTTAAAACTTATAAATTATTTGTGTGAAAATCCTTTTGACCTACGAGTTGTATCAAAATAATAATTTAAAAAAACATTACACGCTAGATTCACAAAAGAATACCACTAAGTGACATTTAAGAGGAAAGAAAATTCAACCTTGAATTATTTAAATTCATTTATTAACCGACCTTCAAGGTCTGAAGTTGTTGTGCGCGACCTGAAAATGAAGCCAAAAATTGTAAACTTTGATATTATATAACTCGTTTGCGTTTTGTCATACGGGAGTTTAAGCTTTATTTATTTATTTTATAATGATTGTGGATTTTCCTAAATATAAGTATAGGGACTGGGAGAACGTATAAAATGTTAGACTTAGTTTTTTAGATAAAATTAATTTCTTTTAAATTTAAAAATACGAAAGTACTAATCTTTTCCTCATTTAAAACATTTTTGAAATTGGAAGCATATGTCTACGAGCAATGATTACAAAAATAAAGTCTAGGTATGGACATTTGCTTACACGGTGTACAATGACTTCTTTGGAAATGCTACAATATTTTTACGTCACTTTGATAGAAAACTATTTCAAATGCGCAAAATAGTTCAAACTTTTATGAGGTCATAGTAAACGAACGTTGTGAATTGATAAAAATTTAGAAATACTGGAAATCATCTCTGATCCTTAATAACTTTTTTGTACTACTCTTAACTTGAGCCACAATCCATCAAAGTTCTGGGAAATATTTCGTTTTCTTTCCGGAACAATTTAAGCTATCCCTCTACAGAGTGCTTTGGATAGGGTAATTAATTGTTTGGAAATATAAACCGAAAACCTTTCATGTAAAGTACGAAAAGCACAGATTGTACAGCATATAATTGTATTATATTGCTGTATAATATAGTATTATAAGCTTTGTGAAGAGATATATTATTAAATGCAGTTCCTTATATAATATAAATGTTTCAAGCAGGAATATATTGACTAACTGATAAATATCTTGATTTCTAGTTCACCCCTACTTCTATTAAGTCACCTTGGAAGTCTAAACCTTTCTTTTTGCAAGCAAAAACGTCTTAAATACTACCAGGGAGCCGGTTATTCTCTATTTTAGCAATTATGCTTTGATTTTTTCTCGCACGATTCAACTCATCGTCTCCCCCCCTCTGCCCGCTCAATTTCGCATCTTAGCTGATGAAAATTTGACAGAGATGATTAGCATTTCTTATCAGTCATTTTTAGCTTTCATAAGATGGCGTCATTATAACTGGTAGAAATTTATTTAATAGATTGTGAATGTATGTTTGCAATAGTATTTAAGTACCTGAATCTATCTCATGCAATATATATTCTTAATAAAATAAGTGCGTGATATACCTTTACAAAGTATTTGGAAGCGTTACAAGCATGTTTTTTGTTAAAGAAGTTGCCAAATACGTCCTTTGATACATATAAGGAGCTTGTTGCATTTCATTTATAATCACACGAGATCACACTTAATCATTAACTGATAGCTAGTGCCAAGACTGAAAGTATCTAAATTTTGTTTCACACAAATGATTTCAGAGTACAAAAAATTTCATAATATCAATGTTTATTTAAGAAGTAAGATGGATAATTTAGAGCCAAAATATTCTTTTTGTCATTTTTAAGGTCTATTGTTTGTTTTCTCGGATATATTCCAAAAAACTCAATGCCCATACATTTTATTTCTAGATTAATTTAGATCTTTAATTTGTAGTTTATTACCCCCCTTCCGTACATACTCTCGTGGTGTCAATTGTTTGCTCATCAAAATAATAAGTGGAAGATCCGTGGTTCGAATTTTAGTCACGGCACAACTGAAGTGTCACGTTTCTCGCCTTCAAAATCTTAATATTTTATGCATTGTCGCTCGAACTAAAATGTGGTAGACGATTATTCGTCGCCACCTGGATTTAGTTGCCTGGGTATCGCGCCTATCCCAAATCGCCCTTTGAATGGGGAAGAACG